ACTGTTTGGAAGAGTTCAAGGTGATTGGCCTTGTGTGAAAAGAAGCTATCCGTTTGACCACCAAAGACCTGACTTGAAAAACAAAATGATTAAAATAAAGCTAGAAAGCTCTTCGGTAGCTTGAGAGTTGGTTTGAACTAAACGAAGAATTTAATGATGAGTATTTTTTATGCCGAATCTTAGCTTCAATTTGAGTTAGGCTTGCTGGAAAAACGTGGTTCTATTAACGAGAACTGCAAACAGTGTCATTTTGCTCGCATTCAATTTGATATAGAAGCTGGGCACTATAGGATGGACAGCGATTCAGAAGGTCTGCCGTACACAGTGTGCATGGCTATAATGATGAAAATACCGTTTACTAGGGCTGCATTTACAGGTGGTTTCGGTAATAATCTCTTATCTGCCTTAATCATGCAGTATTATTACAGAGGATCGAACGGATAAGGCAGTGAGAAAACGGCTACGGCATAACGCGAGACATAAATAGCGAAACATGTAGGTTATAGAGAGATAGCAATACCTGTATAGCTTCAACAATAAAGAGTCATGTATCCATATGTGGACGAACATGACCGGACATCGTTGACGATGGGATGATGCAAAAGGTTCATTGAGTTTATTTTTATAACGGGTAGATTGAACACAGATTGAAATGAAACGAAACCAAGTACAAAGCTTATCAATAAAGCAATATTCTTGCAGACAAATGTAGCTGAAAAACCGAATTCAAAAAATTCTATGTAAATTGCAATATCAACATTGACATGCTTTAAACAAATACAACATTACTTGTGTAACATGTTATATTTTAACGTCACAGTACTCTTTATTTATCAAATAACTTTTAACTTTGTTGTTAAATACAAAATCTCTCAAATGTCTGAAAATGTTCACCCTTCAAAAGTGTCAAGCGATATTATAATTTCATCAAGGGTGTTCGTATGTATACAGACCAAACAGATATCACCTTAGTGCAGATAAACTTAATCTCCCATGAAAAACTTTTTACAGAGTTTTGTCGAACAAAGAGAGGAAATAAATATAAATAATAATTACAGAAATAATCAAATTTGGGGTAAAGAAGCCTATTCGAGACAAGCTGATATGGTCTTCCTTTTGAACTAAGCAAATGATTCTCATACGAGAGTAATTTCTATGAAATCTGCAATGTTAAAATTAATCTTAGGAAAAGCTTTGATCATTTTGCAGAGCACTCTATCCTCGAACTGTCCGAATGATGAAGCAACAACCTTTCGGGGCTAATGCACTTTCTCTGAGATGTTTAAAAGCATTGAATTAGATTGCGCAATTTTTATTGTATTGTAAACTCTAACCGAGTTGCAATTCCAAAGCGCCATCAAGAGGAAATAGCCGGAAGAAATGCTTACTCGTAATATCTACATGAAACAACCATTCTACTATGAACTATCAAATGGTGTTTTAACATTTCAAGAAAATTCATTTTCATAAAATACTAAATTTATCAAACAACCCACGATGAAATTGTTTTTATCGATGTTTCAACTAAACGTCAACCTTGTTTACGAACTTCAACACGAAAAACACAGCAATTGGTAACAGATCCAAAAAACGAGTTGCAAATACATTTACACAGTATTTATCATATTCCAACAATATCCCAGGAACCTCTTGTGGTTGCTGCAGACAATAAAAGGGTTTTCCGGGGTTATAAAAGGCCTTACGCGTAGAAATACAGGTCCGGACTAACCCATAACGTAGTAAATCAAATTTCAACATCGCTACGAAATTCAGCAGATTCCCAAATGCTATCCCTAGCAAAAATTTAGCGTTGCAGATTGCCACAAAATTTGAAATGCATTAAATTTACAATCAACGGATTCGTTTAGAGGTAACTGCATGATTACTTGTTACCCGTCTGCACAGAATTCAACAAAAATACCTGCTTTTGAAATGGCCCTCTTATCTGGCATTTTAATTTAGCCGCTCTCCCCTCGAAATGAAAATTTAAACTCCCATACCTGATTACATCTCGCTTTAATATACAAACAGTTTTAGTTTTATAAATATGCATCTTTTCTGTGGGTCTTCCAGCTTTATGGCACCGTTGTTAGAAATGGCGATCGATCATTTACAGTTTTGCTCCTGGCAATATCCACAATCATAGAGACTGATAACATGGAGTACTTCTTCCAATTTGCTTTCATACTGTATGCATCCTTTAGACCAGGAATACAGGTAGCTAATTCCCGATGTTGACAGTCTTGGAACTTGAAAGTCAATACCTGATAGCTATGGGCATTTTGATCCTCCCTTTTGTCGAAAGCACTCGTAAGAAACCAGTTCGTCGAGCGTCCACCGTAGCGTATCCTGGTGTTGGTCTTTCAGCACTGCGTATCATACTTGCGTGTCTTCTAATGGCATTGAAATCATCGTTTCGCTACAGTTACGACAAAACGCAACATATGGGTTTCGTAATTTCAGCTTGATATGAACAGCAGCGGCAAACCCCGGTCAGAATGAAAACGCGATAAAAGCGAAACAGTTCTACTCTTTTTAAAACAAGGCCTACCAGCATGATGCGATGTATGCCCTTGTTTCGTAACGACTAGAGTATCGTCTATTTCATAATCAAGTCGAATACCTTAAAAACTGGTAAGAAACCTTGAACGACCCAAACTATAAAAAATGCCATTTGAAAAACAAAATAGATTTCTCTCTAATACCTCGTTGATTGACTACCTCTTGTATTCGTCTCCAGGGAATCTAGAGAAAATAAACAACCCGTTATAGATTTCATTTATTCATTCGTTCATTCATTTCTTCGTTCGTTCGTTCGTTCGTTCGTTCGTTCGTTCGTTCGTTCGTTCGTTCGTTCGTTCGTTCGTTCGTTCGTTCGTTCGTTCGTTCGTTCGTTCGTTCGTTCGTTCATTCATTCATTCGTTTTTTATTACCTATACACGGTAGGCCCATCAATTGAAAAGACTGCTTTATAGGGGCTGTGTCGAACTCTATAATAAAAAGACTTGCAACACATCAATACAAAATGCAAGACGAAAGAACTGATGAAACCAGCGTTCTTAAATATTAACTTAAAAACCAAATGCAATGTTGAGGCACGCACCCTGCACGAAAAAAACTTGAAGTTCCTGAATAAACCATCAAAAACACCAAAATATCTGACATGGGCAAAATAATATTATAACTTACTCGTCATAGTTAAATGTTTTATTTCCTCCACCAGCTACCGATGTATCATTTGTCAGGATCACTCTCCTGAGAAAATGAATTCTATTAAAACGGAGAACTGTTCTATCTTTTTAAAATAAAAACGAAGCATTGTTTATTGGCTTACTCAAAAACACAATGTAAAAAAGCTAGATTTTTAGGCCAATATTACTAAAAGGGAACACCCGAAGCTGACATTTGGTTACGCAAGGGTAGTTTGAAAATCCAATCCACAAACATTTTCCCATCGAATTTAGACGAACTAAAAAATCGATCCTGCAGAGAACTAGGGGACGTGTTCTCTTTCAGTACCTAAACCCGCCACCCACCCACCAACCACCGCCATCGTGGAAGCCAACACTTCGTCCGTTGCACCACGGTTAGCTGAAAATTGAATGAAATTCTTGCCACGGTCTTCAATCCACCCCCGGGATTGAATTGCTCCATGGAACAAATAACAAAAATTAACATTGGTATAGACAAATAGATGAGGCAGACACGGGGGCAAAAACTCTTGTATAGCGCACACAGCAAGCAAGTCATGGACGTTTGATGAAATGTAAGATAGGGTTGACTCTATGAAAACTCAACCTATTCCTTGAAAAGCTGCACGCTGAAATTGTAAATAGTGTGTAAACATTTATTGGGTAACCAGAATCATCTTAAATTCTAAAATATTTCCAATTAAATAACACCTCTCCATGTCTGCGTCAACTTTTTAAATAATTCCTTTCTGATTTTACATGTAATTCATAATTCCATTAACTTCATAGCAACTTATACATACTTTGTTTCCTGCTCTGGAGGTGCGTTGCTGTAGGAGCCTAAAATTCGTGCCCTTTAAAACAAGAAAGAGCATTAATGGGCAAAAAGATTTTTCATACTGAGAAATAATTCAATTTTATAAAATGGAAAAAAATCGCTGAAAATAAATTAAAACCAGTTATTTTATTTTGTCATTATTAAATACTAAATTCTCCCTTGTATCCCTGCCCTCTCTACTATTCCTGCCTCTTTTCACAAGATCTATTGAAAAATAAAACATCTTTTCCTAGCTTTAAGTAAGGTACAGGAGAAACCGAAAATACTTTTAATAACATTTGAATGTCCTCATTATCAACCCTTTCCCCCTGAAATTCCACATCTTCGTCATCATCTTTATCTTGCTCAATCTCTAGCACTTTTCGAGCCATCAAAGTACTCTCTTTAGACTCCGCCTTTTTTCTATACTTTGAAAAGTTAATCTAGCCTCGAGACATGTCGAGCCCGCCTCTGTGATACTCCCACTCCTGAAATAATCTCGCAACAAAATAGGGGGTCGGATCAATAAACCTGCAGCTGGAAAACAAGAGAGGAGACAGCACATTTTTTACACGAGCCCAGTTTATAAGTACATTGCGGCTCGGTTTGCCAAAAAATAAGAGCAACGTAAAAACAAGCCCCGCCTTAGATGAAAAATCGGGTTAAAAACAATGTGTACTTGAAAATGTCCACGTGTTAACAAAACAAAACAGATTTTGCCAGCTAAAAAACCGTGTAAAGGCAAATTCCAGGCAGAACTGTTATTTAGTGGACTTCAAAACAATTTATAGCATGTAGTTATAGAAAATCAATGTTGAAATAGGAACAGCATAACTCAAACAATATGGAAAATAAGAGCATCGATCCTCTGCAAAATTATTTGGCTGCTATGAAAAATAACAGTAATTCATAGAAATACTGATTTTCCACACAATGAAACGGCAACGTGAAAATTATTGACACAAACCCAAGCACAATGTCAATTCACATGGGTGAATCTGCAAGAACACCTTCATTTAAATTTGTTATGAGTTAAGAGAGGCCTCGAAAACAGTGACATCAAGGAACTTTACTATAGGGGAGGAATCCTTGCTAAAAATAGTTGGAGCACCTGAATATTGACCTAAACTAATGAAACCACGACTGAACAACCTTCTTCAGATATCAATCTGCTTCCAAATATTTTTTATCCCCCCCCCCCCTATAAAGCTGATTAATAAACCAGTTTGATTATAACAGGGAATTGTATGTAAATTTTAAAACGTCGTTATAAGGGGGTATTGGCAAAAACTTTTAAACTGTTGAAATTTTCTTTGAGTGTTCAAAAATATTTTTTTTGGCAAGGATTGCAGTTAATTGGCAAGGATTGTTTATTAACAATGGGTAATAAACATCATATTTCAGAGTAATGCATATTTCATCCACAACAAGTAACAAACTTTGAACGACAAGCTTCGCATAGAGTCAAAAATGAAATCGGGCTGGGAGAAGCTGAGGCAGAAAACCAACCTTGCTGCAGCATATTCAGCTTCTTTTTCAGCCAAAGTCTTTAAAGGTTTCTTGTCTACTTGTTTGACGTTCTGCAGCGTTGGGCCATTCTCACGTTTTAAGATTCTTATCTGCCAAATATGATAATGGATAATTAGGCACTATTGTAAACACTAAAAGTCAAAATTTGCACAGAAAATTGACAATGTATATCTGGCATGTCCAAATCAGTTGGCATTTTAAATAAAATCAGACTCCTCAAAGCTAAAAATTTCAAAAAGTGATTTCGAACAGTTAGTTGGACTGAGACATTCTTATCTCTATAGAACAGTAAGTTTATATGGTGTCCACAGCTACACAAATATGGTGTCCACAGCTTAATCATTCAAACAAAGCACTACATACCAAAATTATTCACTATTTAATGCAACACCATTTAATGTGATATCATTATAATGTTATATATTCAACATCAATGCAGCTTGTGCATTATGAAGAAAACACACTTTTCGTGTCGTTTGTATGATAAGTTGAGGCCAAAAAGGCTCTAGCCTCTATAGCTCATGCTTCATACGTTTTTAAGTGAACTTACAAAATGCTAGTCCAGTACGGTAAGTCATACTTCTAATATAGCACCTGATTTATAAACTTTTACAAAATTTTTTGATGAATACAACCTCTCTCATAAAAAAGCAATTTTTCAACTTGAAAAATATCTTTAATCATTTAAATATTTTCATTAACTAAGTTTTCAAGGCTGGTCTAAGATATAAATCTTTTGGGTTTTGTGTTAAAAGACAAAATGGGTTGCAGAGTTTGCCAGCTGAACAACATAACGTATTGGCTACATGGGAAGTAAACAAATAATGCACTTAAGAGCCTGTAAATAAATTATACCTGAGGCACATATTCTGACCTCCCTAGTTCTTCTGCAGGTGCTAATGCTCCAACAGCTAGCCCCCTAGCAAATAAAATTTGATAAAGAAATTAAATACTTTTAACTATTTATAATAAGTTACTTGTTTACAAAATATATTTTATCCTAAACCCTAATGAAATGAATAATGGATAAGCGAAATTGGAAGAAGAACTGAGAAATTTCAGTATGCAAATGTAAGAAAATGAATAGCAACAGGGTATGCTGCATGGAAAGATCATTCAATGCAACCAGTTTTCTGTTTCCTAAAACATTCCACTGGCAATAGATTTTCTAAAATATAGCACTGTTTTAAAACTTAAAAATGACTGTTATTCTATACATTGTCAAACTTTTTGGAAAAATTAAGATGAAACAATTTAAAAATACCACTATATTGAGTAATAGTCCAAAAGTCAAAGACATTTATTCCCAGCAAAGCAAACTATTATGTGGCTTTCATCAGAACTCATAATACTTTGTTTACTATGCAATTCCATGTTTTTTCTACACCAATTTGTATCTATATCAATCATTTAGCATCATATTGATAAATAAATTGTGAATCTGTCAGTAAAACTTAACTAAAAAATCTAAGTTAATTTAATTTAATTTTATCAAAGAATCCCCTTTTAAGGATCCTTTATTGAGAATCCTCTTTTATTAAAATACCAAAAATAAATTTAAAGCATTGTTGTAAATTGTATAATCAAATATTGACATTCACCAAAATTGTCAATTATCAAGAATGAACATGAATAAACATTAAAAACATATTTAGACAAACAATACTTTAATTCTTGATTCTTTTCGACTTCTTCTTTGACACGAAGCTCTTTTTCCCTTTGCTCCATACGTTTTTCAAGCTCCTAGCATATAAACATCTCATTAAGACATAAAAAATTTTGGATGACACCCTTTTCAATTTTACAGAGCAATGATAAAGACTTACATCATATATCATAAACAACTATGGAGCAGTGGCGGACACTTGGGGGGGGCGATCGCCCCCCAATACTTTAGAGAATGATGGTCTTTTGTTCTAAAACAATGGGAAATGTGACATCATCTTATTAAAACAATAGGCTTGCCCCCCCAATATTTGACCAAGTGTCTGCCCCTGCTATGGAGATAAGTGCTTGCTAGTTCTAGAACTTTTGTGGCTTTTCTGGGAAAAATGGAACAGGCATGCTAACCACTGCACGCCTGAAAACATCCAGATGTGTGGTGGCATGTGACATTTTTTCACAAAAGATTTAGGGTGAATCATATAAGATCTATGCAGAAATTGCCAACACAACAATGATGACAATGACAATTTTGATCTAATTTATTTCACTGAATTCTATACATAACTAATTACATTTTAACAAAAATTGGGTTATTTCTGAAGCCTTCAGCAAATTTCTACACAATTAGAAACTGAACTTATTCTATATATCAGTAAAAAAGGCACTACAAGTACAGAAAAATGTTTGCCATGTCACAAGTACTTTTTATCAGCTTCAATAATGTATCCTTAGCAGATTCATTTAAGGCTTGGTGTTAATCTGGTTGTAATGGCTGTTTTTTCATGTAAATCCATGCCCCCGAGAGGCTTCTGCTATTTTATGAACTTCACTTGCCAGGAATTGTTGGCAATGACAGCATAATCCCGCAAACGGTTCACAAAGTATTTTTAGGCTGAATATACCAGCAAGATTTTTCATCTTTTCTCCTTACAGGTAGAAAGGCAAGAAGAACCTTCCTTGATGGCATGCCTGGAAACTATGAACTGAAAAAGCTTATGGAATTTTGTTTCAAGCTTTCCACAAGCACATGGAGAAAATGTATGTGATACGCTTTTGGCATATGCAAGATGAACAGGCGTATGCTTCAAAGCTCACCCTTGTGCAGAATTTAGCACAATATGCTAATAAGTTCAGAACTATAAACCAGGCTTTAAATCTTGTTCACAACACTCAATGTTCTACTTAAAATCCGTAGACAAAAATGTCTGGTATAGTTATCTGTGTTTGGATTTTTCACAGAAATGCCATAAAACCTTAAAAAGGCATTAACTTTTGCAGAAAGTTTTCTCCATTTTAAGTGTCAAAAGAAGTGCATATTTGCCAATGTATGTTTTGTCGATGAAAATAATAATTCCCTGAGAAATAGTGATAAATATACACGGGGAATAAGTAGACAAAAATAATGGTGAAAATTTATAGAAAAGTTCATCATATTGAGGAAAATTATGATGAAGGGACCTACAACTAGATTCGTAATAATGAGAGTTTGTTACATACGGGATTGGTTATACCGAAGGAATTTGTACAGGGTTCAGCAGAATCCAAGGGGCCAGACCTCGTTATACCAGAAAATTCCACTGTAGATTAGTAATACTATTATTATAAAAATTTTCTATCTAATCCGCAATCTTGACAAGGTGTTGAGCCTTTTTGAAGTGGCATGAAGTAATTGTAACAAGAAAAGATAAACATTCAAACCCATCTCAAAAATCAACAAAGTAAATCATATATAAAGAATTTTGCTCTAACATAAAAGAGAGCAAGTGATATCTCGCACTCCTCCAAATCAGTAGGTGTGTGCCTGTACATAGTACATGTTTTTATTATTCCTCCAGAAAATCATATAATTCTACCATTTTTGCAAACATGCCTAAATTCCATCTTTCCCTAAATTTCCTCTTTCCATCAAGCCTAAATTCTATCAAAATTGAGAATGATTACAAAATAATGATTAGAAATTGACCTTGGTACATAGAACTCAGTGCAGAAAAACACACAATTCTAAATCTCAAAACTTCAAAAGTTATTTTAAAGTTGCATATCACTTCATAAGCAGAAACCATATAAAACCTTAATGTTGTGATTGCATGACAGGAATTATATAGATATATATTTATATCATCTTCCTCCTACACACAGCTCAAATTTCAAAAATGACAATGCTTACAGCAGCACAGGACCAAAATCCAGTTTTCTTAACTTGGATAGAACATGTAAGAGCCATATACAGCTCAAACATGAATAATTTTACTGCCTTGTTTCATACTAAATTTGCAATATTTAGCACAAAGAAAACCTTATAAGAAGTAAAAAATACATGCATACAGAAACAAAGGTGCTGATGCCGTAACCATATGGGCTACTTTAAATTCACTTGACAACACAACACTGTCTTGTTGGCCCTGGCCTACCCAATATGGAGATTTATGTTGTAAAAATATGCTAGCAGAGCACTCGAACTCTCAGTCTAAAGTAGCAGCTGTGAGTAAATCAATGTTGGAACTTTTCCCCAAGCGTAAGTCGTAAAAGCAACCATAATTCGTACCCCAGTGTCTGCAGCATCTTCCCAAGAGTCCAAGACGTCGTCGTCCATTTTGCCAGTTTTAACCAACCATACTGGCGCGGAGCCCCAGAAAATACCGGAGCCATAGAATACCGGAATCCCAGAAAATAGCGGAATTTTTTTCTACATTATTTTTTATTATTTTGATCTTGGAATTGGTATAAATTATCAGTTGTACTATTAGTTCAACGTGTTTTCGTTCTTTTCAAGAATAAAAATTGATCAAATCGCTTTGAGAATCAAAACTAGGATCAACGGAAAATATGTCAACATGAAATAAAACTTCATATGCAGTCGAAAATAAGTGGAAAACACTTAATTGACTGGGTATTGTACATAAAAGCAAAAGTTACAGTTCAAATGATACAAATCTGACTAAAATTCGGTAAGGAAACAGGGCCGATCAATCTCCCGTACACTTAAAAAGATTTCCAAGAGACGAAGCACAATTGCGTGTCATATATCTAAGGTCGCTCTTCAAGGAGGGAGGAAGCCGTCCGCTCCTGCGACTCTTGGCGGCGAAAGTGGCCTATGATAATGCTTGCTTGCAGCACCGTGCGCATATCTATTTCCACTTTTGCAAGATTCCCAGTAATTTCGAGCATTAGTGGTTGTGATAAACACATTTGCGTTAATAAAATTGGCCCGAAGGGCCCTGGAATAGGCTTGCTCTTTTCCCTCAAACGTCCCATAAAATACCGGAATTTTAAAAAAAATGCTGCATTTTATGTCTCGTTTTTAAATTTTCACTTGGAAATTGCATAACAAGTATTAATCTTGCGATTGGAGTAGACTTTCAGTGAAGAGAGCAATAAATTTAATATTTCCTTCAGTCCTGATTTGTAGTGTCGTCCGCGGCTCCCGCGACACATGCCGCGAAAGTGGCCTATGATAATGCTTGCTTGCAGCACCGTGCGCATATCTATTTCCACTTTTGCAAGATTCCCAGTAATTTCGAGCATTAGTGGTTGTGATAAACACATTTGCGTTAGTAAAATTGGCCCGAAGGGCCCTGGAATAGGCTTGCTCTTTTCCCTCAAACCTCCCATAAAATACCGGAATTTTAAAAAAACGCTGCATTTTATGTCTCGTTTTTAAATTTTCACTTGGAAATTGCACAACAAATATTAATCTTGCGATTGGAGTAGACTTTCAGTGAAGAGAGCAATAAATTTAATATTTCCTTCAGTCCTGAATTGTAGTGTCGTCCGCGGCTCCCGCGACACATGCCGCGAAAGTGGCCTATGATAATGCTTGCTTGCAGCACTGCGCGCATATCTTTTTCCATTTTTGCAAGATTCCCAGTAATTTCGAGCATTAGTGGTTGTGATAAACACATTTGCGTTAGTAAAATTGGCCCGAAGGGCCCTGGAATAGGCTTGCTCTTTTCCCTCAAACCTCCCATAAAATACCGGAATTTAAAAAAAAACGCTGCATTTTATGTCTCGTTTTTAAATTTTCACTAGGAAATTGCATAACAAGTATTAATCTTGCTATTGGAGTAGACTTTCAGTGAAGAGAGCAAAAATTTTAATATTTCCTTCAGTCCTGATTTGTAGTGTCGTCCGCGGCTCCCGCGACACATGCCACAATTCACAATACAATCTGACAAAGGCGGGACTTCATGTTTCAGATGGGTTGGGTGGGGAAAAACCTCAAAAAACAAACAAATTTGCCGTCATACGACAAAATTTTAACGTATGACGGCAAATTTGTTTGTTTTTTGAGGTTTTTCCCCACCCAACCCATCTGAAACATGAAGTCCCGCCTTTGTCAGATTGTATTGTGAATTGTGGCATGTGTCGCGGGAGCCGCGGACGACACTACAAATCAGGACTGAAGGAAATATTAAAATTTTTGCTCTCTTCACTGAAAGTCTACTCCAATAGCAAGATTAATACTTGTTATGCAATTTCCTAGTGAAAATTTAAAAACGAGACATAAAATGCAGCGTTTTTTTTTAAATTCCGGTATTTTATGGGACGTTTGAGGGAAAAGAGCAAGCCTATTCCAGGGCCCTTCGGGCCAATTTTATTAACGCATAATGGTTTATCACAACCACTAATGCTCGAAAATTACTGGGAATCTTGCAAAAGTGGAATATAGAATATGCGCACGGTGCTGCAAGCAAGCATTATCATAGGCCACTTTCGCCGCCAAGAGGTCGCAGGAGCGGACGGCTTCCTCCCTCCTTGAAGAGGCGACCTTAGATATATGACACGCAATTTGTGCTTCGTCTCTTGGAAATCTTTTTAAGTGTACGGGAGATTGATCGGCCCTGTTTCCTTACCGAATTTTAGTCAGATTTGTATCATTTGAACTGTAACTTTTGCTTTTATGTACAATACCCAGTCAATTAAGTGTTTTCCACTTATTTTCGACTGCATATGAAGTTTTATTTCATGTTGACATATTTTCCGTTGATCCTAGTTTTGATTCTCAAAGCGATTTGATCAATTTTTATTCTTGAAAAGAACGAAAACATGTTGAACTAATAGTACAACTGATAATTTATACCAATTCCAAGATCAAAATAATAAAAAATAATGTAGAAAAAAATTCCGCTATTTTCTGGGATTCCGGTATTCTATGGCTCCGGTATTTTCTGGGGCTCTTCACCACCGTATCTCGTTTTAACCTTGCCAGCCTCTTTCTCGATATGACGCAAATGCTACGGCCCGGCCTGCGTCCCAATTCCTACGAGGTCAATGCAGAAAAGATGGGTATGAAAAAGTTTTGTGTTTATTAAGCAACCATAACAATATTTATGATGACTTCACCACTGTCATTTTCACCGAAATTTATAAATACTAACAAAAGCTGAACAATTTTTTAATTTATTGACAATACACATTTTCGGTCCTAATTAAATTACCTGGTGTGGGATCAGCCACTCAGATTTTCTTATGCCACAAAGATTTTCCTAAAATAAAAAATAAAAGCGAAGTAACAGAAAAAACCAATTAAATTAGAAGTGAGCTTGAGAAAGTTTATATCTGCCTTAAAAAAGACAATTAAGTGCTTTGTAATGTAGGAAAGGAAAGCTCAAGACGATATTCTGAGCCTTATTCTTGCTACAATCTTTAGACAACTGCCACCAGAGAGACTTTTACTTGCATGTAGGAATATCCAAAGATTGAATCCGGGGTGAATCCAGAGCAAATTGGTAATGGGGGCGCTAAAACGCTTCCAGAAATTGGTGACGAGAGTACGCTGTATGCAACAATTTCAAACCCTAACAACAGACAGAAGGCTCCCTATTAACTTTCTAAGGAAATTTTCACAATAATTGTGCCAAAACAATGATATAATCTGAGCACGGCTGAAGGTCTCTTATTAAAGTTTCTCTCTTAATAGATGAATCCTCTGGCTGAACATTCGCTGCTCCGCCATAGTGGCTCCAACTCTGCTAGCGTACTCTGCAAAAGAGGCTGACTTGAATTACCGAGAAATCGAATTTTGGGGACAGGGGCCCAGAAAATTTGCCGCTTTTTGTTTGATTTTCAATTGGAATATGGCTGCATTGTTGGACAGTACTTTAATGAATGCACCTAAAATTCAATAGTACGTCATTATTGCAAAAGAGAAGATTTGATGAAGATGAATAACCAGGGTTTTATCATTAAGGTGACCACTATGGTTGGCGGCAGAAAATGTTGTACAACTATGACATTCTAAAGATGGGTCTGGGGTATTTACAACATCGACTGAGAACCAAGGATTCTAGGTGCAACAGACAAATATCTATCACAGTTATGCTCCATAGTTCTATTTGGTTTGATTATGCATGAAGATTGGAAAACTTTAAAGCGCAAGAAATTGAAAAATGTTTGAATGAAATTAAGGCAGGAATTAAAGAACACACATTTATGGATAGCCTTTGTTATCTTCCTGAGCATTACTTTTTTAGCAAAACATGATCCATTTTTGAAATAAAGAAGCTAATTTCGAAGTTAATCTTGAAGTAATTTAACCTACATGTCTCAGAAAATTTTTTACCTGATCGAATTCTTCAAAAGGTGGGCACAATTTTCCAAAAAGAGGCGCCAGACTTGCTTCCGTTCGGTGAGGGAGGGGCAACTGACCTTTCTTAAATCCGCGACTGAAACAGCATTTTAAAGGCTGTTCATTTCTGAAAAAAGGATGTCTCGAATTATTTATCAGAGTAAAAGACAGGTAAAAGTACAGAATGCGCTAAAAATTTCAGGAAAACTAGATTAAAAGTGGCTTTGAGAAAAGCAAACATTTTGAAACATGTTGCTACAGCTTTCATAGATCGAAAACTCTACGCTAGGAAATATATATACCCAGTTGTGGATCGTGAAAGGCCAATCAGAAACGCGATCACATGACTGATGAGGTTGACCAATCAGTGCCGCTTGCCTATTTCGAAATTACACAAAACCACAAAGATTAAGTGCAGCAGTTGAGATAAAGTCCGAATGCCTTAACTATTTTTTTCCTTAACAAATGCAAGATCCAATTGTTTTTTTAGAAGTTCTAGTTATAACTACAACCTCATTCATTTGAGAAATGTAAAAACGTGAGAATGCAACCCTTCTTTTTAAGCAGGGCTGTAACCCGCCTCCAGGATACAGGGAGTCTCGGCGATGACAGGATTCAAGAGAGAATACAACTTCTAACCTTTCAGACGATTTGTTATATAGATCTATACTGAGGCCTTTCACAAGCACCTACAGCATGACAGGTATCTGACAGGTATGGACTCTCTCTCTCTAAACTACTTTTCTAAAGGGTTATACTATACATAGGCGTTAGTTAGGAAGAAGAAAGTACGCGCGGGGGCTGTGTCAGCAGTCTTCTAAGATGCGAAAAGATTACTTGGCAGAAATGATACCAAAAAGGGGGCATGAGGTAATGCATTTTATAAAAGAATACCATTACCTCAGCAAATCTTATGCAGAGAAAATCCTTAAGACAAAAGATAGGCCTACTGCATCACGCACAGTTGCCAACGTAATGCGTGATGAGGAACTACTAGTACAGTAATATAACTTACGTAATATGCGTAATGATGCGTCTGCAAATACTCCTATAGGAAATATGCGATGTTCTAAATGCAAAGGGCTTAAATGAACATAAATCATATAATAATAATAATAATAATAACGCGAAAGCTGACTCTATCACAGGGTTATCGTTTTGGGGGGTGTACGGGGATGCAGAGATGCGGGAGTTGCAAAGAATGTGAGTTTTTTGCCATCTAGGGATGCCTACTTGCTTTCGAACATTTCGCTAGGTGATCCAAAGCCATTCCTAATAGTTTTTTTTCAGATTTTGGAAATATTTTAGAACTGAGAAATTCTCACTAACGTTTCACTTTGGTTTCTGTTTCGGTATTCCAATGCTAACCTTGAGCGATATTTGAAAACATATTGTTCAATTATTGAGGAGAAGTCAAAAGAGAGAAATAAAGACACGTTCATAAAAAGAATAGAAGCTATACACACAATTGCGACACAACTAGCTGATCATAAAAGCTCAAGAAGATACAAACGCTATTTCTTTAAAACTTTGTTCTTTCGAAAATGGTTCAATACAAAGTCAACAATGTTCTTGCATCTAAACATAAACAATTTCAATACATCATAAGAAAGGTATAAAAAAGACCATTAAATAAAAATTTGTAATGGTTACTTAGCTATCATTTGTAACTTCTGTACATTTTACCTTTCTACTAAAGGTATACGGAGTATAAATATACATTGCAGTCACCTTAGATTTGCTATAAGATAGAAACCTTTATAAACTTTGAGCACCAATTCGTGCTCTAAAGGCCAAAAGCTAAGGCATCTTCAAAAATTCATTCGATCGTCGAAGTTTGGGGGTTTAACTATTTGACCCCCTTTCCCTGATTCTTTTATTTCACAGCAAAGACGCATCTCATATCTTTCCTTTCTATTTCAAAAAATAAAAACCTAGCCGATGAACGTTTGCACTATTGATTAAATTTCAGCATTGGCTATTTACTGCACTGCAGTCTTTGATAAACTGCGCAAAGGTGCCAACGAAGGACGATGCAATTACATCTCTTCGAACTAGCTGTGCACATACAACTATTTCATTCACCGAGTCCTAGAATTTTCACAAAATAATTTTCACTGATCGTCTCCTCATTTTCTGGAGTTTCTCTCTCAGTTCTCCAGTCTTCTTCAAATCAAAGCCCTCTCTTGCCAGTATTTTCTGGTAGCCATAATTTCTCCCAAATTTGTACCGAAAGTAGTCCAAATAATCCACTTCGTCCATCATCAGTTTGCTGCAAAACGACCGGTGAAAGCGGTCAACTTTTTGTCCCAAAACAAGACTCTTGATCGTTACGTTTAGACGAAATGCCTTCTGTTCGACCTCAGCTGGGGAGCATATCTCTCTAACATCAGCATTTCTTCTCTTAAACTCAGCTACGTCATCCCAAAATTCCTTGCCTTGTTTGCGAATTTTATCCCAAAAAGTTTGATTAAATCGTTTATACAAAGCAACATCAGCGGCATTCCATTTCAAGATTTGTTCTCTTGTTTTACTATTTAGTTTTCGCTTTTTATATTTCATTGCATTCATTTTTATATACAAAATATCATCAAAATCCCAGCAAAATTGCCGCATCATCAAAACGAGGCTTTCATCGAAATATTCTAAGATCAGAACGAGATCCAGCTCGTTTTCAAGTTTCTTGATAGCATTTTTAACTACTTGTGAATGGGCAAACTCAAGAAAGTCGTAACCAAGGTCGTACATCATTCCACTTTGAATGAGATTCATAACATCTGGTAGATCACCAAGTCTCATTGATAAAGAGTAGAGGTACTTGTCAGGATCCTTGAGGAACTCCTCAATAGGATTCTTGTGATGCCGCAGTCCAAGTATTTTGTCGATTTCAAAATAATGGAAAGAGCTAACGAACTGCGATATAGGTTCACGAAGAATTGTTATGTATTTTGTGTTCTTCTTCATTATCACATCCATTTGTTCTCTATTGTAGCGTGCATGATTGCAGAATATGTTAGCTGTTTCGCCATCTAACCGTAGCAAGTCTGCGAACGTCCAATGAAATTTTGACGGCCATTGAAACCTGTAGTCTCCAGCAGATGGTATTGCCATTCGCAGCTCCCGTAAATCACCAAATCTATTGAGGATGTTCGTTACAGTGCTGCTACCAGTCTTGTGTGTCTTGATAAACAGAATATTCTCAACCGGCTTGCATCTACGAGAGAAACCCGAAAAGTGCTTTAAAAGAAATGCAATGAGAGCTAGAGAGGGAAACTTATGAAGTGAAATGTAGAGAGTAGAGCACCTGTAACTGACAGCAACAGTTATGAGCTACCTTTTATGACTGATGAGAAAGTAGAATCAATTTGCTACGATGACCAGGAAACCAAACAACCCTTTTTGGGATATTTTGTCCTGCCTGCTGCTCAATTATGGAACTTTTATAGACAAATCTATAGTCGCTTTCCAGTATTTTTTTCTAGAAAGCCACATCCCCCAGTAAATAATTAAGATGCCCACTCCCTTCAAGGCAGGAGACTTGTAACTAATCTACCGCTTGAACACAAACTCTTGGCTAGTCTATCTTCTTTAATTATTAAGGATGTCTAGTGAAGTAAGATTTGCTATATTGGTATATTTTTTTCATCTATACAAGAAAATCATGAAAATTGCTATTTTTTCTATGCTGTATAGGCAGGGCTGTGCACTTTTTGGTGTATACAGGACGATTTTATGTTGCTACTCCGAGTTTTACGCTAAATGCAATAATCAGCCAACTCAGAAACTATGTTACTGTTTTGATCATATCTTTACTTACAACGGGCTAGAGAACATATTCCTATTTTGCTTCCCGTCACACAAAAGTTCTTTGGGGAAGGAATACTTTGAAACCTCATTCAAGCAAACATTGCATTTTTTCAAATTCATATTGCCTTCTCTGCCGAAATGAGCACCATGATGCCCCAAAGTAAGAAGATTTTTTCCATTATTCAAGAAAAGGAGAAACAGTTTAAAATTACCGCTGTTTGGCATAGATCTTTTCCAGCTCCTTGCCGACATCAATATCTTCGCCAACTGGTAAAGAACTGACTTTGTAAGAGGAATTTCTAAGAGGCATGCTGATGGGCTGCTCTGTGACGACTTTATCGCTAGAAAAAAGAATTAATCGAAAATGTTAGGGAATATGCACTGTATTCTTGTGATTGCCATCTCACGATATCGTTTATTATTGTCGAATCTTCGCCAAATATATGTGTACTATGAAAATATCTATCACAAAGAAAGTATTAGAATATCTTACGGACAGACAAAACTGCGTACCTAGACGTAGGAGACATGGGCTGGGCTGGAAGGGCTGTAGCCCCACCCGCTCCCCCCCCCCCATCAGGCAACGTTTTTTGCATTTCAGGCATCATTCAAGCAGTTCCGTCTCAATGAAACAATTCTATTCGGGCAAGAGGTTTTGTATCCGCTATGCCCATGACTGCGTACAGTTTACATATTTGGTCAAGTTTAGACATCGTTTTACTGAAATATTGCATGCAAATCTTTTTTAATCTGAGTAATCATAGAGATAATTCAACCGAGGCATGATTCAAATCAGAATATTCTGTTTTCCTATCTATTTATATTCAATTTATAACCTTTATTATTGTATATATATATTATTGTATAACCTTTATTTATTATATATTGACAAGAAGGGTGCAAAATGTTAGTAGTAAAAATATGGCACTGGATTTGAATTTCGCTTGATAAACACTTCAGCACTCACAACAGTGAGTATTTTTAAAGTGATCGGCATTCGAGTTGCTTTTGCATGCAGCTCACTCATTGTATGTCCTACGATAGTATTGGAGCATGAGCCATTGGGTGCCACTTATTTGATCGTCAACATAATACCAAACGTGTCATAAAGTCATATAATGTTTTATTCAGGCAGTAGTAAAGTCGATTAAAGGGATGTAAATAGAGCAACATTTAAAAATCGTGTTCTACCGAAAAAATTTTCAAACCATGAACAACATCATAAAATTGCACAACGATTGGTAATCTCACATTCACAGAAATTTAAATTTGTTGGAACAAAAATTCATGTTGTACAGTTTTGCTCTGTTGAATCTTTCTGACAACGAAAGGAAAAATACGTAGCAACCTTGAGTATAATTTGTCCGACACTCCTCCGGATATTAATATCGGATGATGCCAAAAGGCAGGGTCAGAAATTCAACTTTCTGATGAAGGGGCAAAACGTCCAAAGACATGCTTGTCCAAAACAATTTTTGCCGACAAATGGTAAAATTTACCAGCAAAAGTGCAAAAAGTTGTGCTTTAACTGACAATTTAACGAAGCTGGGAGGCTCTGGCTGTTCTTTTTGGAACCACTTTTTGTCTGATGCTTGAAGGAAAGTGTTTTTTTCCATTGACTAGTGGCTGGCTAGTGCTTTCTTTCATGTCATATGTGTCAGGTGTGTAAACAATCCGACGTTCGACCTATCGTTTCACCTAACATCATACCTGACATTTGCATATGTGCAAGTATCGGTGCCATATAGCTCAAGCTAAACGAAGAAGCTACAATCCACAATTGTCAGGCATGAGTGCAAACGAATTTATAATCATAGTTTCATTTTTCATGTAGAGAACAGTGAATTGTGGAACCAATGTGTGACTATGACCAAACATCGGCCGACATCAAACAGCACAATTTTAGGTGTCCTGACGTCTCGGGCAAATCAATTCCTAGATCATGTTAGATCTAATGCTAGATCAAATCTTTGTTCTTTTACCACCATTAGCGTAGCAGATGCTAAACTTTTAGCAGGGCATAGGATAGCTTTTCTCCGCATACTTGCTTCCTCAAAACAGAGCTGCCCGAATGAAGCTTGAAATACGACAATTTTTGTCTGTTTATGAGGGCTGCATCCCTCCCAGCCCCCATGTCTCCTATGCGTATGTTTACCACAGACCTTACATCGTGTACATTCATTATAATCCCAATTTTAAGGGTCCTGACGTCATCTGCAAAGAACCCAACCTTTACCTGGCATGATATTAGATCAAATCTCACATCAAGTCTGAGACAAAATCTAACATCTGACATCGTGAGCAAACGACCGAACATTTTACCTGGCATAATATTAGACCAAATCCTACACCTTGCATCGTGTGCAAACGACCCTACATCTTGCCAAACATGACGGTCGATCAAATTTGCGAGTAAGTGTTTACAAAGGTAATAACGCAATGCCTCTTTCCTGATGTTCAAAGAGACATTCCATGGCGCATTACAATATTTTTGCATTGCATACTATATCGAGATGCATTTGAACCAGTGTGACTTCTGGTTTTGTCAATTCGTTGCTTTAACCACTGACCATAGAAACTTCTTTGTAAATAGATACCATGAAAAGGCAAATTTAACTAAAAACTTTTTTCCTCAGCGATCATCGTCATAAATAAACAATAAGCATGCAAAATCTCGAGTAATGATATCAACAAACCGTTTCGAGTGATTCCTTTCTGCGGTCTCATCGTTATACCAATTTTTCTCTCCACGATATGTTTCTGCTTTAAAAAAGTTAGTGTTATCCAGCTTACAAAAGACAATCCAGAGGATATAGAAGGATGCAAGCCATGAGATCAACAGGACAAAACATTGGGGTCTGTGGAGTATCATAGGGCTTCATCTGTTTCCCATTGACATCTTCTCTTTTCAAAGACAGAGTCATAGTTTTATTTTGCAAACAAGTTAAATGATCAACTGTTTCGAATGTTTTTTACACCTACAAGACTCTAGGTACTTCATGTAAATAGCTTTTGATCTAGTGTCATGTAAAGGTCATTCAAGGACGGGGGTTTCGGCATACCACTATATTATTGTTGCTACATGCCACAAAGATGAAAAAGTGTATATCTAAATAAATGGTGCCTACATTCATGCGAAAATCGATTCTTGTTGTCGAGAGCGCAGAGCTCGGTTTTCTTATATCTGGAGACCAATCTTACGAAGATATATTCTCGAAAATATCTTTTTGCATCTTTTAGCTTCATTTTTGGAGCCTACCCCCCCAGTCGACTGTCTTCCATGAACTCGGTACGGTCCAATGCGCGGCTTATGCACGATTACAGGTACTGACACCTTAATAACAAATCAAGAGGCCTACCACTATGCGATGATGGCTAACCTAGTCTTGATTTAAGTAATTGTGCAGAACAAGGGTACCTGCAGGGTTCAAGAACCAAGTCATCTTCAATTGTGATTTGCTTGAATAAGGGTTAGTAAACTACCTTTTATTTTAAGATCAAGCCAGACTGCAGTCACGAAGCTTGACCTTCCAGGCCAGGAGGGGGAAGGGTCGCGAATAATAGTAGCACGTACCCACGGGGGCAAATATGCAGAAAAAGTTAGGTTGTTTTTGGTCAGAATATATCGCATTCGTTTTCCTACAAGGCTCCTTACCAACCTCTATCTATGTTTACGAACATAGTGAACGTGCTTTAATTTGTACATTTAGACAAACGAATGAGTGCTATTCCATCTACAAAGGTTTTAAAAGTCGAAAATGTTCATAAGAAAACCTTTTCATCTAAACTAATAAAGGTTACACAAAAGAAAATATGGGTAGATTGGTGCTAGGTATAGGAATAGTACTTGTCTGGTGCCAGTCTTTTTGGTAATATCAATATTAACGTTGATGTTGAATTTGTGGCATTGGAAACGAAAATAACCTTTTAACAAAAGGTACATTGAATATCCTTTCACTGAGATATGACTTCTTCAATTTAATAAAGGCCATGAATTTCTGTGATTTTGTTAGCTTTGTAGCAAGTATTGTACTAAATTGTCAGAAATCAAGCGGCCACACAAACCCAATTAGCTCTGTGATCTTATGAAGATGGCAGATTCCGATTTTTCTGCATCAACTTTTCGGTTTTGGTTTTCTCTCAAATTTTTCTTAAATCTCAAATTTGGGCCATTTATTTTCATCATAAGAATTTGAATTCACATCAACAAGAGTTATCTTTTCTGAACAGCAGCATTAGCAAAATGGATGCAGGTGGCAATAGCCTGAAATGGAAGATAGTGATCAGTTGTTGCACAATTTGCAAGAGCCATTATGATAAATACAGGATAACATTGGAGTGGGCAATTTATTTTCATCATAAGAAGAATTTGAAATGTCAGCTAAAAATAGCCCCAAATAGCCCAAAATAGTCCAGTCTGAAAGGCACGTTCGCATTTGCAGTCAATGTAATGAATAAGTTTCCATTTTAATTTCTACAGGGCCCTGACCTACAGGATGCCGCGGGTTGCAAAGTTGTATTTTATTATATTAAATACCTTCAGTTGTATTTTATTAAATACCTTTCCTAAACAAGTTTTCTTCCTTTTTTAAACGTTTGCCCATAGTCACTGTCCGTTCCGTTTTAAAATTTCAGCAGGGCAACATAAACAATCTTTAATACTGCCATGATATCAATATGTTTAGGGGTTTCAGTTCCTTACAGTGGCGGCTCCAGCCTGGGATAAGTGGGGGGGAGAGGGGGGGAGGACATAAGGTGTGTCAGGGATAACGCCCTTTTTTCCCTGTTTGAAACATTTTCTTCTGGAGGAAACATCTCTTGTCTCCCAAGAAATGTCATCTAAATGTGAAGATCTAGATAACGTACATCCCCCCCCCCGAAGTTTTCTCATCAGATTTGCAAGAATCTCAAGGACTAGTCCCCATTCCCCCCATGGCTCCGCCACTTATTCCTTAGCACCCTATGGTATCCTTGGTTCAATTAGCTCGCAACTGTCAGGGTGCCTTTAATTGGCTTGCGACGGTCAGGGCCTTTTTTGATCGACTTGCAACCCTCAGCAACCCTTGCATTCAAATGCACTGGGCCCGCCACTTTTGCAACAATACAGAAACACTTCTCATTGGTCACGTTCAATGAGGTGGTCACGTTCAACTACCATGGCTTCATCTGTGCTGTACAGGGAGGTACGGACTTCAGGCAAGTAGTTGATGGGCAAAAAGCTGCGGAAACTCCAACGAGATTGTTTAAATGGCTAATAATAGCCTCTGTCCCTCGCAAGGAAAATCGCTATTGTTCATCGATTTCAGGGAACAGAGCTTAATAAACGCGGATACTATAAAGGTCGTCTGTCCATTAAGACATAGCTATGATAATGAATGAGAGCTCACAATGGCAGTTTTTGGTAGCACTGCCTTTCGATAAAAGGCACGTTTGGAAGTTTCGAAGTAGCAGTGTTAAAAATGAAAAGGCCTAGAAACCTTTTACTTGGATTAAAAACAAAATGAATGGTAATACTTCCAAAGCCAGAGACAACCACAAACTTAGTAACATGTTATGATTTCACATTTAAGGAAAAATAAGTGCATAGTACATAGTGTCTTTGAAAAGTGTACACAGGTGTGGCAATGCAAATGAGAATGTTTAGTTTTTTGGCTTCTTTGCTATAAATATCGGCTTGATATGAATCGGTTTGTGGATGGCAAACGGCGAAAAAGGGAAACCAACTATAAAAACATTATTTTCTTTGTACCGAAATCTAATGGTTCCTTGATAGAAGCCTCTAGGTGATAAATTCCACAGGTTGAAACAAGTCGCCATGCTAATCCATGTTTCATACTGTTTGGGTTTTTCCAAAATTTTCATAAGATTTTCCTCGTCTTCAGCAGACTTCTCCATTTTGATATAGGCAACGTATGATTTACCTTTTGTGTCTGGAATAAACTGCCTTTTATGGGTGCACTGGTTTTTGGAATGATCCAAAACAATCGAGTTTCTAGAAAGAAAAATCCACAGATAAAACTCACACTGGCATAGAGAAGGCAAAAACAAGATATTTGTACTCAATTATTGCAAAAACCTAGTCACATAAGCATCGAAAACCTGTCGACTTCTTCAAACTTATAACTTAACGGGGAAATATTCCTTTTTTACGAAAGTAGAAATACGGTAAAGCGAGATTAAAATTCCTAGGAAGATACTTAGGGTTTTGCTTTTGCCCAAGGACCTTCAAAAGCACTCGGCGACGCTGCAAAGAGAAGAGCAGAAAGCAAAAAAAGTATCGTTAACACTTAAAGACTCATTGCTAGCAATGGGCCTTTGCGAGCGTGGCGACGATCCAAACAATGGCAGTAAACTTCAGTAAACGGATTAACCAAAATTGATTTCAGACTGTCTAAAAATGCATTATGGGATGCTTGCGTAGCGCAATGGCTCATTGTTAGCAATGACTCTTTAAATCTCGTTAAGACTTAAGTTAATCAAGATAATCATACCAGTACCTGATCATTTCATGAATCTCTTTATCATACGACAGCTTCTTGAGTCTCTCGATGTTAAATTTGATGCCCGAAATTTTGTTGAGGGGTTTGTTGGCAAAAAGCCTTTCGTGGAAGAATTCATTCATATTCACTCCTTTTGCACCGAAGTGGTACGTCCTTGATATTTCTGGCACTATACAATCTCTGCCCTTAAGATTATCGTCAAGTCTGAGCCACATATCCCAGTCAGCATCGCCAAGAAAGTCACCAGGCTTAGGCCATTTCGACTCCAGCTCATTTTTAAATATATCCCGCTTTAGTATCCTGCCAAAAAGCAATTGTTTAAAAAATTAGGAAAAATTTTCCTATAAAGTTAGAAGGCAAAATCAACATTTATAAAGCACCTTGATATTTTTCACAGTGATGGAAACTTGATCTAATCATTACAAGGACAATTAAACCCTCTATGTTAAAGTAATCTGGAGCACGGTCACGATAAGGAGAAACTGCTACAGTTTCCATAGTAATAATGACAGTTTTACAAACCATCCAGTATCGTATTCTTACCATAAATCTTATCAGAGATCTTAAAAGTTTGATTTAATGAAATTTAATCACGTTCAATATGTTACAGGGTACGCCTTTCAGGTGCCCCTTGGGCTTTTGTTTTTGGGCACAGATTGCACGATTGTGGAGTTTGTGTTTATTGTAGCAGTGCTCGAGTAAGCTTTACATTGTGTTTTTTATACGGCTAAAGCAACCAGCGTGCAAGTGTGCATTGGCTTTGGGTATTTAAACTTTTTCTTAGCACAGTTTCATTCTCACACGTTGCACGACAACTTGAAGTTGGACTTTGGAGAGGAAAGGTTTTTCCTTTGCGACCCTGCCCACCCAACCCTTGTCTAGAAATTTTCAGGGGTTTTTATTTACATGCATGTTGACTTTCTACTTATTTTCGTGCATTAGTTAATGGCCGTATGGCTTGCGACTTTTTGCATGAACAAGGTGCTGCTAGTCGGCGGAAGAAGGCCATTGTTCTTTTTCTCAACCCCCTCAAAAACGGTTGGGGTTTATTTATGGCCGTCTTTGCGATTGGCGCACCGACAGCCCAAAACTAAATGGTTCAAATGATGAGAGAACACCACCTTCAGTCTTATGATTGACAATGGTAGAACATTATGAGGGCCATCCTACCCTTATTTGCTAATGGTTTTTGTTTAGTAACCTGGAACAAATATTAAATAACGAAAAACAAAAACTTTGCTGTCGGTAGGAGATATAGGGAATACTTTTTCGATTAACACATGACTGCCCATTCGATTAACACAACTTCTGCGAGTCGCAAAAACTTCCTTACTTCTTCCTAGCAAGCTTAGTAAGGAGTTTTGAAAAAAAGACTTGCCATCTTCGTCATCATCTAAATAAAAAAGAATATTTATGCATACCACTCACCAACCAAGGCCAGGCATACCATTTATTCTGTAAAGCTGCGCTGGGTCTTGTACCACGTGTGAATACCCTTGATCATTCCAAGCAGAAACACAAAACAAACTTGGATCTGATATCAAAAGGGGGTATGTCTGACTAAAATAGTCCATTAAATCGTTTGAAACATCAAGGTCTTCTTCAAGAATAATCATGGCCTTTGCACCCGGATGCATATCAAAGGTTTCTTTGATCGTTTTTCTGTAATGGTTGCTAATCCGACAGACTCTGCCACAGTTGGTGTTATGCCTAACAAACTTGAGATTGTAGAGTTTACAAAGGGCCTCAGGTTCTTCGCACTGCTCGCAGTCAATATAAACAGTAATCATCGCATGATTTACCCCTGGCACCCTCAAGAAAACATCTAACATGCGATGCAGATAGAACGGCCTCTCCGCAGCCATAATTACTATTGGTATATCTGTAATGTTGCTACCTTTAAGAGGCTTGGGACTGAAATAAATTGGCTCTGGGTGAGAACAATTACAGATCTTGCCGTAAGCATCATGGCTGCTACAAAAATTTCTTCTTCTTTCAGCTTCTTCTCCAAATCCAAAATTACATTCATTCACTTTTGGAACCAATTGCAAATAAACATGAGCAGTGGCTGGAGGAGGCCAAACGTCGCTAATTACACCGCCCCTTCTTGTTGTCAAGCTAAATTTTTCTGTCAGTGGCTTATCCCCTTTTACTGTGATGAAAACCCAAGCATCCCTGATATAAATTTTCTTTATATGTTTACTACCATAACTAGCAATGACCTCTCTTGCATGCTGCTTCAAGGAAAAACTTGCTTCATCCAACGTCAGGAAGACAATCACTCTGCCTTGAGAAACAAATGAGAGAAACTCGCTGATCTCTTTGTCGTATGATGCAAGATAAGTGTCAAAAACACGAGATGCCATAACACTCCCCGTATGCTGGCTAAGTACAATTATATGCATTCCTCTGTTGCCCTCTTTTTTCTCATAAACAACTGCATCATCAATTGAAATGAAGGCATGTTGCTTGCCTGACTGGGCAGTTAGCAGCACCCTCTTTTTGACATCAAGGCTTGTATCTAAAACATCAGCCTCTGATATTTTCACTTGGGTGTCAAAGTCGATCTTCTCATGGCCTGAATCTTGGACGCGAATTAGTTCATCTGAGAACACAGTGCCTTGCTTTGAGTCAACCTTTTTCATGTTTGAGAAATATACCAGATTCACGATTGCTGTTGTTACAACAGTCAGTGTCAGGAAAATCTGCAAAATACGATCGATAATTCCAGATCGTCTCACTCGGCTGATTTTTCTCATGTTTGTAATTTGCGCTATGCCATGTATCGCTACAGTACAAAACAGAAACTGAATCAAAACTGGGATGCGACTAAGGTTTACCTGGTAACATCCGGAAAATTTTATATCAGCCACATTATCTAACTTTTATTACTGATATCAATGCAAAATGACGGGGGTAGTGTTCACACTAAGAAAATGTCCTTTGTCAAGAGATTCTCTATAGGAACCATTCAAGGTGTCCACAATAAGAAGTTGGCCATTTATTTAGTTTTTACTTTATCGCAGAACTACGAATGACAGAAAGTACGATGCTACCCCCCTTAGCACTTACAACCGATTCCATGGGATACCGTTATTAAATCGTCAATGTATGCGAACTTGGTGCTTTTCCTCGCAGATCAAGTGCAAGGAGGCACACGTACGCGTCAGATCGAAAACATCAAGTCTGCCGAGATTGACTCTTTTCCATGCCAATTTAATTTCCAGAACTTTCATTGTAAATTTGCAACTTCCTTCTTGAATACTTTTTTTGGCTTGCTTTTTAATAAAGATTGGAGCTTAGAAGTTTCACTCACGTGTACTTTGTTATTAAATAGTTATTAACAAACGAAGAACTGGTGGCTTACTCTTTAAAGTACGATATCGATAAAGTTTTAATCTTCACATGGCCTATACCTTAAAGTACGATATCGATAAAGTTTTAATCTTCACATGGCCTATACCTTAAAGTACGATATCGATAAAGTTCTAATCTTCACATGGCCTATACCTTAAAGTACGATATCGATAAAGTTTTAATCTCTAATCTGGGTTGCCAGATGCTTGGAGTGATTGGCGGCACAATTCTTCAAGTTTGACGGCCAAATTTGGCCAGCCAAACAAAATAAACATAATCTATATTTTGGCTAATTCTTTTGAGTAATAGTGTAATCGAAATTGGCTTCGTTTGTTACAAAAGCTCTCACTTGTTTTCAAATTCAATTTTATGTTATCTTTCACTTTCAGTCTTGCTTAGTTACATTTAGGAGTTACTACCTAAACCATGGGTAGAGAAATACATATGGAAGTTAGAAGTCGGAATTGTCTAGTTTCTATTCTTCTCGACCTGATAGTCATAAATAAGCATGCTTAATAGTCATAAATTAGAATGAATAATTATTTCAAGTAAAGGGTTAGGGTTAGGGTTAGGTTTAGGGTTAGGTTTAGGGTTAGATTTAGGGTAAACTAATTACGTCGTCAGGTCGAGCAGTATGGAAACTAGACAGCTCCTTAGAAGTCAAAGTTCGACTTCGGATCCTTTTGAAATACGAGGTGGGCTCCACCAGGGATCACGACTAAACCCATTGTTTTTCTTTAACGTGTTATTTGAAGGTGCGAGATATGTTTCGTGGTGATAGCTTACTCAAAAAGAATCTGACTAAAGAAGTAGAGGATGACAACAATTGAAAAAGTGATTGCATGGTAGGTCTTTGAATGAACATTGGAAAGAAGAAGTTGTGCTTCCAAATAGAGTAAAAAGTATAAGGATAAGATGAGGGAATTCTTGGTGTTTGATTTCAGATTTTTTTGGGTCACAGAGATCAGACATTGCTTCCACATTATGAAGCCATTACAAACGTCTCGAATGATCTTCATGCAGTGAAAACTTTTTATCTTAAACTTTAACTGGAAGCATATTCTGCTGTTTCCAGTATTGCCTTGAAAGATATCATGAACAGAGTTAAATCTCAAACGCTGTAATCTTTCTCGTCATCCCAGTACACCGGATCAACGAATTTCACTGACTCAAAGATACAAAGGTCAAGAATTTGAAGGGGTTTAAATTCTTGAAAAGTCCTTTGATCTTTCCTTTAAAGGCCTCGCTGGATAGACTTGCAAAGACAGGGCCCACGCCACCATACGGAGGCCGGCGGGGCCAGCCCCCTCACTTTTTGGTAAGCAAAAATATTTCCAAAGAGGTTCTAAATTCAAGTTCGACTTATAGAATTTGGCCCCTCCAGCTTGAAATTCGTGGCGTGGGCCCTGAACGATGTGACCATATCTTTCAAAAAATGCTGGCCACAAAATAAAGAGTTTTTGATGGCCCTTCCGCTATGTCCGACAGTGTCAGCAGTGTGAGCTAGTTGAATGCGCGAAGAACATCAATCATCGTTCCAAATGTAATTTCCTTTCTTAACCTGTTCCGAAGTAAACATTAGCCAGTTTTCTGTTTTCTTTTGCCATTTTACAAAATACAAATTATGAAATCACGTCTTGGACTTACCAAATTTCTTGATTCTAACAAAGATCATCTCCTTGTCGGTTTTTAAATTCCTGGTCGACAATGCAAGCCATCACTTATAATTGACATCGCATGTTTGCTCATTAAAATGATTAGAACTTTCTTGGGAGCGGCCTTTTTCTTAAAGACTATTTTTCAAATTGAATTGAACACGATTAAAAGATTTGATTTAGCTTAGAATCAGTTAAAATCATGTTTGCTTACACAGCATCTGATACTTTTGGAGATTAAAAGGGTACTCTGTTAGAGACAAATTAAATGCACTACTTTAAATAAATCATCAGAGTGTGAATTCAGTCTAAATTTATATCCAACTAACACTTTTCTTCTTCAAGGAATGAATACCCCTAGTTAAATCTAAGAAGACAAGAAAATAACTTTTTGTAACTGAAAAAAGGAATCAGTAAAATGTAAAATAAAATCTTTTAATAGCCTAGTATATATCAAATCAAAAATTATTTCTTGTCAATAATCATTCTTGGCCACTGGCAGTGTTCTATTGTATGTAGCTTAATTTTGCATCTGAAACGAAGAATCATATTTGCTTGATGTGGTTGATCCAAGTTCATCAACTTCATTCATTGCCTGTTCAAGGAACTGCTTTACTTCAATCAGTTTGTCATTTAATTGAGCATCTAAAGCAGTGATAAGGTATTCTTTTACAACTTCAGTACCACAGCAGCTGCTTAATAATTTGATTATTTCTAGTGACATCTGTTTGATGAATTTCTTCCTTTCTTCTGATGTCATTGCATCATCCAGACATAAATCCACGATCAGCCTGAGCAAGATCTTAAGTATCAGACCAACATGTTTATGAATTACAGGCCAGCAGTTCAGAACAAAGGTCTTGATAAGTTCAAGCCCCATTGTTCTGAGTTGACCCTCTTGACCATCATAAATTTCCAAAACCGAACTTGTTGTTTTTGTTATAGAAGACAAGTACTTGATACAATTAATTTGAAGTTCTTTTGCAAAACTTATAATGTTTTCAAGCAGAACTTCTTTAACATTTCTCTTACTTTCATATTCAAGATTTGAGATCAGTTTTCTCATTATCTCATCCCACCTAGAATTCTTTTCTAAGCTGATTCTGCTAGGAAAAGGCTCTAATTTAAACAAAAGTGTTTTTAGGCAAGGTAAAAGAACTTGAAGTGTTGCAAATTTTGCTCTGTACAACATCTTGAATAAGACTTGATATATCAATTCGGAGTGGTTGTATAAGTTCAGTTCACTTGCATTAACATTTTCCAACAGATAGTGCAAGCCTCCAATCCCTAGCACCTGATTTTCATGATGGTAATCTTCAGCTACCTCTAGCAACAAAGGAATAAGGATCCTGAAATGTGAATTCAAGTTTGGGTACTTTACTTTCACAGTAGCAAAGAGAACGACATGCTTCAAACTCGGATCTTTTTTCCAACCATTTTTTGAAAACTGCAAGCAAACCTTCTCTAAAACTAAGCTTAGAACACCTTCAGTAAATATAAGCTCTGTACCAAAATGGTCTCCCTTTTCAGAATTCAATGTTGTCCCATACCCTATTAAAAGTTCCTCTGTGTTCCTTGAGTTGGTTAGTTTACAGGCAACTGTCACAAGACTTTTTGCTTCCTTTCTGGAACTTGGAGTTGTCCATTCATGTTTCCCCATGTGTGCAAATGCAAGAATAATCACTTCGGGCAAACAATACTTGGAAATTTGTTTGACAAACATTGTTTGGGTACCCTCTTTGTCAAGTATAAAATGCTTGTATATTGAATTAGCTATGTGATTAAGCACTCTCAAGCAGTTATGAGCAATATCTGAATACAAAGGCATTTGCTCATTACCTAGTAGACAAACATCTTTGTAATCTGGATGTTCTGGGAATCTTGAAAGTTTACAGATCTCTGAAATAACTTTAACAAGGGTCTCTTGTAACAGCTTTGTTGAAGAAATATCTGACAAACGCTTCATATTTTCTGTAGAGAAATATCCCTTTACCCAGCAAAGCAGTTGTGCTGTTAGCTCCATGCTTTTCTTTAGTAAGTTATTCATTTTTTCAGTTTGATTTCCTTGGATACATTTGTAACTCTTGTGCAGTCCAGTCTCTTCTTTCTCAATAAACTCTCCAATTGCAACTAGAAATTGTACAGCTGTGAAGAGTTCTTTAGAAAGCATGTTATTTAATATTTCTACGAGAGTTTCTATGTATTGATTTTCTTTGTATGTAGTGATGCAAAACTTTTTCGAAGTGCTCAAAGTATTAATAGCAACAAGTAAGATTTTTGCTTTTACGTTCATCTCCAAACCCAAGGGCTCTTCGCATATCTTAAGTAGCTCATCATTGAAATTGTTAAGCTCACATCTATACAGTAATGGTTCGATGGTAGATCTCAGCTCATAAGCAAACTTCTTATCGCCATCGGCTGCTTCTTTCGCCATCATTTGAATCTCTTCTCTCTTCTCTTCTAGGCCGCCATTCCACACCAGTAGTACCATGTGCTTCCAGCCTCGTACACAAGCATCAAAACAAAAATAGGCCTAACTTTATAGTTGCAGTTTTGCCCTCTGTTGCATATTTCATATTATACTCGTGAAACATGGACCTTTTAGGATCAATTCTTGGTAAAATGGATGCTCCTCCTATGACAGCTGTTGATAAAGAAGCTCTCAAAAAGGCTAAAGGTTTAGATTCGCTACTTTTATTATATACTCAACGACAAATTCTATATTTCGTTTCCTTCTGATGATAATGTATTATTATCCCCAATCAGATGAAGTTGATTCAATAATTTTGTTTAGGTACTTGTAGGTTTTTTCATGCCATACATTAAAATGTTTAAATCCTCAAAAGTTCTAGAGAGAGCACACTTTCTTTAAAACTGCAGAGCTAGCGCCCAGTCTGCAGAGTATGGCATGTGCACACCGGAGATATTTTTGTGCCAAACCTGTTGGTGCACACCAGGTATTTTTGGGTGTGGCAACTAAGATGGGTGTGGCTTGGTGTGGTCCCATAGAAAATGTCAGCTGATAAAAACAAGCACAGTTTTGTATGAACAATTTTAGGTATCATGAATCTTACTTGACAAATATACAAAAAAAAACTTGGGCTATCTTCAACAGTGTACTTCACACGCATTTTTACGGTGAAATGCAAATTCACATATTTTAACCACAACAGGGGAAAAAATTCGGTGCACACCAGCACACCAGACATTTTTGGTGGTGCACAGCGGCACACCAGGCTTTTTGCTCGTGCACACCGGAGATCTCGTTGAAAAGTGCCATACTCTGCAGACCGGGCTAGCGCTAGCTATAGCGTACTTTCTAACAAGCCTAATTTGCGTAATAAACCTGTCTCTGATTTGTATGTAAGTATCTGCTCGCATCTGCTGCTTAAGTTTTAGTTTTCTTTCGATATAAACCAGTCCAAAAAGTTTCTCACTTCATGATTTGTATTTTAGAGGCAAAAGCAAAAGCTGATAAGCTCAAAGCAAAGGAAAAACAAAAGTGGTCAACATTTAGGACTGAGGTAGGATGCTTGTAGTAACTTTTTTTTCATGTCTGATTCGAATGCCCCTTTTCATGCTGACCAAATATAAAACCTGATAAATTGCAATACATGGACACAGCATGAAAGTTTGAATTTTTTGGGAGTGTGGGGGGCTTGGTGGCCTCAATGATTTTCTTGCATAACCCTGCAAGTTTAACCTTAGAAGACATTGGCATAATGATCCAGAATGGAAATGAATAGAACATGTGCTTTTGGTGCACAATTTGATGTATAAAATATCTTGAAATTTTCTACAATGGCGCCGAAAATTTTTAATCTAGCTAAATAATCTAAGGTTTTGATTAAATTTAGCTAAATTTAATTCAATTTGAACAGGTGATAAATCAAGACTAAAGGTAAAATAAAAGGCAGGCTTTCGTGGGAAAAATATAGCAGGCGTGCTAACCACCGCACCCCTGAAAACATCCAGGCGTGTGATGGCGTGTGACATTTTTTCACAAAACATTTTGGTAATTATGGTAGATCTAAGGAGAAATGGCTAACACCAAAATGACGACTGCAAAAATTTCAATGAAATTTACTTCGCTGAATTCTTACCATGACTACTTACATTTTAGCAATTGAGCAATTTTCTAAACAAGTATAAACTGAGCTTATTTAATATATCCAAGAAAAACGGCACTACAAAAATAGAAATATGTTTGCCATGTCGTAAGCAGTTTTCATTAGCTTCAATAATGAATCCTTAGCAGAATAATTGATGCTTTGGCGTTCATCTGGTTGTAATGGCAGTTTTTTGTGTAAATCAGTGCATCGAGAGCCCTTTGTTATCAGACATGACAGCTATTTTGTGTACCTCACTGGCCAGATACATAAAAGATAATGATGGCCCAATTTTCATTAAATCAAATGTTGCTAAAATCTAGATTTAAAGCATAGCGATGTCTAAAGAGGGGGCTGTAGGGGGTAGCCAAATCCAGCAAATCCTCTGTTATTTTCTTCCGCATCATTGGCAAATCGGCTCCTTTTTATCGCATAATCGGCTACTTTCGTACATTAGCGATAGAAAATGAAAGTCTTGTTCAAAACACTTAATGTTCCTCTTAAAATTCGGGGACAAAAAATGTATGTTATAGTTATATATGTTTGGATTTGTTCAATGAAATGCCTTAAAGCCTTGAAAAAGTGTAAACGTTTGCACAAATTCTTCTCCTTTTTTGCATCATTGAAAGTGCATGTTTGCCAATGTATGTTTTGTCGCTGACAATAATGATTCCACTGAGAAATAGTGATAAATATACACCGGGAATAAGTAGACCAAAAAAACGGTGAAAATTTTTGGAAAAGTTCATCATAATGAGGAAAATTATGATGAAGAGACTCAATTAGATTCGTTATAACGAGAGTAATGAGAAACGAGAGTTGTGCAGAGGTAGAGTTCAAGGGGCCAGACATTTTTTGTCATGCCGGAAAATTAGTTATACTTGTAACCAGGTCAGGTTTCATAATATCGGGATTCCACTGTAGATTAGTTCTATGATTATTTCAAAATTTTATATTTAATCCGCAATCCTGACAAGGTGTTAAGCCTTTTTGAAGTGGCATGAAGTAATAGTACCAAGGAGGGATCAATTTATTAACTCATCTCAAAAACCCACAAAACCAATAATTATGAATTTTTCTTCGATAATAAAAGAAGGCGTGCGATGTTTTGCACTCCTGGAAAGCAGCAGGCGTGCGCCAGGGCGTGCGCGTGCGATCGCACGCCTTTCCGACAAAAGCCTGAAAGGTATCTTAACGATGCAAATCATGAAGGAAGATAATGTGATTTTTCTTCTGTATATGTCTTTTCTACTGCTTTATCGTGAGAGCAGTAAAAGGATCAAAGTTCAAGAAGGTGGTCAAGAAGTTTTATGAAAGGGTGCCAATGGGGTGTTTTATAGAGGTACCAAAATTTCATCCAAAAACTTCCAGGAAATGACTAGAAGAAACATTGGAGAATTCCTTTGGCCACTTTCTGACATATCCTTTAGGGTGTCAGATGAAAAGTACTTCAGCATGTTGTGTTTCCAACTATTATGTTAAAAATCTAATTTTGTTGTTGATGGAAATTTAGCTGCAGTTTTCATAGAAACAGACTCAAATATTTTTTTCTTTACCTTACTTTTTTCTTTACCTTAAAATACATTTATTTTTAGACTGAAGCACAAATATCTGAATTTGTTAAAGACACAAATCTAAAGCACAAAAAATTTGAAGCAATGGATAAAGTTGCAAGAAGTATTGTGTAAGTTCTAATATGATTTTGTTTCATCATAAATAACTGAGGAGAGTATTGTATCTTGCATATAGCCTTTTTGCCTTTTTAACATGTAAATTAGGTGGCATTTTCACTCCCAAGTTAAACAATTTTGCTGTCTAGTCAGCCAATAATTAATGCCACTGGGTGGCAAAGGCTTTGTTACTATGCATTGATGTCTATTCACATTGCATTGGTACACATTGCTTGATAATCGCAATGATTTGACTTGACCTTTCAACTCATACCATCTACTACACTAAAACTCATTGATCTCTTTGGCTTTTTCCAAAGAAATTGATTAGAGAATATGGGGTTTAATATTGAAGACAGTAAACAAACTCTGAACTAAAATTGCTTATAACTTAACATACTTATATACAAAAATGAATATCTAAAATTAACATGAATGATGTGAGAAAAACAAAAGATAGGAAGGGCGAGTAAAGGTGATGAGTAAATTGAATAGCGTGGAAAAGATTAAGTAACCAATACAGATTAGCAAATATGTGAAATGAGAGTGAGGTAGAGGATGCCTGTGCTCCAATGTGAGAATGTGGGAATGTGATGGAATGAATGAGAAGGAAAAATAAATGTAAACAGGCCTAAGTAGAGTCACTACAGACTCGTAACGTATGAACCAGGAGGTCACAGTTATTGCCATCTGCATAACTTGAAAGTACACTGCTTAGGTCCTATACGAAATGAGCAAAGAGAGAAGTGGGTGGCTTTTTGGAATAATCTAAAAAATTTCTATGCAATCTGCTGCTAGAAACATTGAAACAACTAACTCACTACTAAGGGGCTGAGAGGGCGGCAGAGATATTGCTCTAGCAACAAAAGGTTTAAGGGACCTTTAAAGTAATATGTTCGATATGTAATATTATGTGATACACCAACTTTGCCAACCAGTAGAAATTCCTTAAAAAGGCTATGCTCTTGCATCCAAGAGAAATAGATTAGAGCCTAGCTAGCACAGGTTCTTTTGAAACATTTACTGTGATAATCCTTTTTGCTTGATACAATGTTGTACATTAACTGTTTCAAGACAACAGCCTTGTGTCTTTTTAGGCATGATGTGGCTGAGGTAGCTGGATTGACTTCATTTTCTTTTGGTGAAGAAAATGTTGATAGATATCTAATGATTTGGAAAAAGGTACAGTGCGAAATGGCCCCTTCATATTTTAGATTGACCAGATTGACTCAAGATAACATGTTATCACTTGTTTGAGGTCCACCGATCTCAAATACTTTTAATAAGGAAAGGGTAGTGTTTAAGTCCTGCCCAAACAATGCCAGGTAGCCGGTTGCTTGTGGACATGGAATCCCCAGCTCCACCTAAACTAGTTTTGTCTAGGTATTTCCCTGCCTCATTTTATCTTGCTAAAGGGCATGTGCACAACACTAAGCCTTGTTTGAGAAGATTATTAGATGTGAACATTTGGATTAAAAATGTATGGTTAAGAAAAAAGAATTCTTCAACAAGTTGATGAGAATTTGTTGAGAAGATTTAATTCTTTTCAAATGAAGCTTTTTGCTTGTTCCTTACCTTGCAAAAAGATTCTCATTTTTACACTAAGTTTTTAGCTTAACCAAGTTTTTGAAAAAAACTAGGGTTCAACAAGGGCTACTTTCACCTGGGCCAAGCCCGGGCTCTTTTTTTAATGTGAACAGGGCATCATGATTTGTGGATAACAAGAAGCCAAGTTTTAATGTTTGAGCAATAGAATAATACATAAAAAGTAGCATTAGCTCCTCATAACATTCTTGAGTATCTGGAAAATGATAGGAAACATTTTTCTATGGACAGTCTCCCTCATTTCTCTTTTTGGATGAATATTTTAATTATATAATTTAAGTTTTTTTTAAAAAGAGAAAGTTCTAGACGAACAGATCAGTAGTAAGTAAGAATAACTTGTATGCAATTTTTCAGGAGTTTGCACCATCAGATGCAGAGTTGGAGGCAAGAAGAAATGGAGAGGTGAGTTCTTGCAAATTTGGTCATCTGAGTAGAAAAGAAGGCCCTGTCTATGTATATCAATAGAAAAATCTGTCTATAGATGATAAACCACTACAGAATAGTGGTAAAAATTAATATTCATTATGTGGACAAATGGTAAAAGGATTCATAAAAACTTTTACTTTGGATTTGAATAGAAAGTCCTCCCCTTACTTACTGTTAGAAAATTATAAATGATTTTCAAGTGCCTAATCAAAATTATTTTAAGGAATTATTTTAAGGTTTATTTTTTTTAAGGAATGGGATGAAGAAAAGGAGCAGCAACATGCAGAAAATTTGGTAATTTTAAAAAGTATTGAAGTGTAGTTTTGTACCTGCAAATAATTTCCACTATTGAAATATGGTAGACAAGATTCTTGATATGAATCTATTATACCAGAAGAGTTTACATATTGTTTCAACTTTAAATGTACAAATGGAAAAACTGTTTGGTATTTCATGGAAACAAATGAATATAGAATTGCAGTGCATACTATTGACTTGATAAGTTCTCTGAAAGCAAAAACAGCAATAATTTCTCAATCATTTAACCTTTGTCTGCAAAACCCTCTTGTAATACCTCACGTTAGAGCTACAAATTATGGAGTCAGATAACTCACATGTTAGTCTGAATTAATATTTTTCCACTATTGAAAACTACAATACAATACAATACAACACAATACAATACAAAACAATACAATATAATACAATAGAATACAACACAATACAATACAATACAATACAATACAATATAATACAATATAATACAATATATGTGATAAAAATCCTTCATTATTTTAGAAAAAAAAGAACAAAGATGAGGTAGAGACTGAGGTTTCAAAAAAGACAAGAAGAAAAAAACAGAATAGTGAACCAGAAAAACTTTTAGACAAATATGCAAAAATTATAGGAAATGATAGTGGAATCAAGGCAGCAAGAGCTACAACAACAAATGCTGCATACGGAATGGGTAATTAATTTTGTTGTTGTCTTTCTATTTCCTTTGGAGAATGAGTATAAATATGAATTTAGAAAGTTTGTTTTAAGTCTATTTAACATAATGTTTGAATTTGACAAAGATGCCACATAAATATATATGGTTCAGGTACTATTACATTAAGCATGAAACTTGGAATAGCAACTTAGAACCATTCTTTTCTATACACCCTTTACAGATCTAGCTATAAGCTATAAGGCATCAAACACTTTATGACAGACCAGTAAACAGTAATTTTCATCAAAAATTAAAATCAGATGTTACATTGAGTGATTCCGAGTCATGAATGAATGATTTCTACATACTGAAAGCAAAATTTTTGTTTCAGTTCCAAGCAAAAACAAGGCAGATAAAAGATCAATAGAAGAAACCATGAACGCTCTCCGTGAAAAGAAAAAGCAAAAATTACAAAATGAGCCTACTTCAGGTGATTGACGAAACGGTGAAACTAAGTGCTAATCAAACATCAATAAAAAGGCAAACATCACTTGTTTCTAATGCCATCATTTATATTGAGTGCTTATATGAAACATTAAATTCAGTGACAAGTGACCAGTGACAAGTGACAGCAAAATGGAGACAAATTGTGTTGTTGACAATGAAACAGCGTCAAAAGTCCCCATGAAGGACATGTTGTTGTCATATTCTTACGATTTTAACACCTTGAAAGTTTTTGCGTATAATAATGAATGACAATCAAAACCTTTTAGATCGGTTAAGAAAAAATTTGAAAGAAATTCTTAACTATTAGATTTCAATACAAAAGTTAGCTTATGCCAACCATTTTCTTAGGTATTTGTAAATTTATACATTTAGACAGCCTCTTGTAAACAGATGTTACTAACTTTATAAATACATTATATTCACTGTTTCTTTTCCGATTTCATTTTCTTCAAATTCCTACAACATAAAAATTCATTTTCCAAACTACACTGGGCAAACCCAAAAACAAAAGTGAAGATTATTCACAATACAATTTCCTTGTGACCTTGCTTGCAAAGTCTCTTTTGACGGTATTTGTTCTTTTCATGAAAATTGATTGTATGAGAAACAGTTTTATCATAACTTGCATCAGATATTACAAAGTCTCCCCTGTTCGGTTGGTACTCTGTGGATGATCTACTAGCTTACAAAAAGTAGCAGAGGTGTAACAGTGGGTGTCAAGGAGTCAAATTATCCAAATTTTTCTTCAGGTGATTTCTTATAGGCATTGAGTCATGGTAAAAAGGCTTTCTTTATAGGGGGTGATAACTGTAGTTTCATGTGATATAAGCAACTGTTGTTTAGAACTTGCTATTGATAGAAGCTGTTTTGTGAATCAGTATGAGATGATCAAATATTGCAATCATTGTCATGCCAACCAATAGTGTTGCAGCACAAAAATTGTGACTCAGCTGTTTGGGCATACCTTCTTCTTTTATCATGACTCAATGCCTTTAATGCAAGTAAGCATTGCTTTAATCTAAATTTACTTTTCATGACTCTCTACACTCCAATCTGGAAGATCAAAAGGCTGATCCTGAAAATGAAAATCACTTTACCTGGTAAATTTTCAGCTAGAATATGATGATGGCATTTCCTGGCATTTATTTGTATATTGATTGTTAAATTGTCTGTTTGATTTCTTGCTTATTGTTAGAACCTGCAGACCTTGCCACTGTATTAAGGCATTGTCTAATATATATTTGATTGGCAAAACTAAATTTACTGCAAAAACCAAAGTTAAATTACATGTACTTACCAAAGCGGCAGTTTTTTCTTCACTGAATTTTATTCCATATAAAGAACTCAAAATCTTTTGAATATTTCTGATACTCTGAAATTGAATTTAAATTTCAATCTTCATTACTGTTATAGTGCCTGTAAATAACCTGCTAAGACAATGATAGAATTTTCTTAAAGAGATTGGTCAAGGCTACAGAATATTCTAGGAAATAAGAGGGTGAATTTCTGGTACTTAAATTACAGGTCCACATCAGCTGCACAGCTGCCATAGATCAACCTGTCTAATATAAAACATGTATGTATGTATGTATGTATGCATGTATGTATGTTTGTATGTGTGTATGTATGTATGTACATTGTTATAGTACTATTTCATCACTAGCAATCACATGTTATTCACCTTACTTAAAAGCATGAAAAAATTAGGAACCTGTTCTGAGCCGTCCAAAGAATTTGGTTTCTTGGCATTCACTTTGTATCCTTGAGTTATGAAGCATCTCAGGGGGATTTTCTCAACCTTAAACAGAATAACTAAATAATTATTTTTACAAAAAAACACCAATACTAGATAGTTTTGCTTTTTTCTTTCTTTCTTTCTTTTAAGTTGGAACAATTTCTAGCTATGCATACTCAAACTAATTAAAACCAACTAATTTAAATTACCAAATGCTATAAATGTAAATCAAATATAACCGATGTTGCATACGTATTCCTTGCAAAGATTACAAGTACAATCGAACAATGTAAATTGTGAGATTTTTTTTCTTGCATATTTGTAAAGTAGGGGAATACTTTATCTTGTTTGGAACTGAGTTCCTTACTTGGCTACATACTTGCTGAGTATGAAATGTAGCATGAAACTTGGAGCTGCAGCTAAAAATTGCCTCAATCTACACATGAAACCATGAAAGTATGCAGATTTTATATTTTGTTTACTTTAAATCATTATTATTATGAAGATATAATTACTTGAGCAGTTAAATAACCACAGCTAAAATGAAAGGCCACAAAACTCAATATATTTTGGCACAAACCTTTGCAAACTGTATGATTGTATTCAGCATACAGTCTTTTATAAGTATTTGATCTTCAAGTACTGGGGCATTTGGAACTGAAAATGAGATAATATTAAGCAATAGTTAAGATCTTATAAATACAAATACAATACAAATTTTTCTATTATTTAACTTTTCTGTTTTCATTTCATTTCTGTTCAAATGGTAACTGGTGGTATTATGTCAAAGTAGTAAGACAAAATCAAGAAATTAATTAAATTCCTTTTTTTACCTTTATTGCAGTTCACGGAAATTTGGAAAACATCTGTTTCTTGGACATTCTTTACTTTTATGTTGACAGCAGCAACAACAATTACTTCCTTTGTTTTGCTAATAAGATACATAACATAACATTACAAAAGTTTCAGGAAAACAGTTTCTGAAAGAAAATTGTAGAAGAAACTAAATACTCAATTACATTGATCAGGCTTTTATTCTTTTTTAAAATCCACATATAAATATATTTATATATGTTATCAAGTCAGAAAAAGTTATAAACAAACACTTTTATTTCTTCAGCAGAATATAAAGTACCTAAGAGCTATCTTAATCAGCTAAGCCTGTATTTAATTCACATCTTTTAGTCTCCAGACTAACAAGCATAGAGGTTGTTTTAGGCCCTGTCAGATTTCTTTATGAGAAATTCATTGGTTACTGATGTTTTCAAAAGGAGGTAAAACTTTTCTGCCTAATTATATTTAAATCCTATAGAATATTCAAAATGTTAAAATATGATTAATCTGATGTATAACAGGGCTTTGATGTAAATTTTGGAATAAATTGCATAATGAGGCCTTGTAAGTTCACCTTTCTAGGACTTTGTCAAAAATGCCATTTACAAAATGTGCACAACCACCAACACTTGTTTGAGATGAAAGAGCCACCAGAGAAACCTGCATTAAAGTCACATAAAATAAGCATGCTGAGAAAAGTATCAGGTTATATTTGTAACAGATAACTGGGAACTGTTTGCAAAAAGAATGCCACACAGAAGAAAGGAAAGATTCAATTTTCACTGCAAAGATTCTTCTACGAATTTACTCTGTTATGGTGTGAAAAATGTTTAAATTTACACCTATTTTCAAAAAAGCTAAATGGAATTTGGTAGTAAAGTAACTGGCAAGCTGTATTGCATCTTTTCAAAACATCAAGATTTCATTTAATCTAGTGAATATAACATTTTGCCTGTACAGTAACACTTCCATCTGTATGACAGATGATCTAAAAATTGAAGGAGCTTTAAGATTTACCTTCTCTCTTCCAAGCTCTATTCTGCTTAAAACTGGAACAGTCTCTTTGTTAGAAGTAATTTGCTCATCCAATCCAGCCATATCCAAGTGCTTTTCACCCAACTCAAATTTCATGTAATCCTTTTCACATCCAAGAACTGAACGACTAGAACAGGGTAAGAGAGAGAGAGAGTACTAAAAAGTTTCCAATAAACTGACATAGAATTATCAGTTAAATAAATGCCAAAATTAAATCACACACCAGATACTTTGTCCTGTCTAAAGTGACCTTTTCAGACATCAAAAATTATCTCATATTGCACTTTCTAAAAAAGTAGGTTATGTCTAAAATGTGGACTATTCTATCTCATAATTGTTGTTTGTTCCAGACTTCATGAAATGAAAAATAGACTTTATTAAGTTGGCACAAAAGGTCTGACAAAATTTTACTTTAGTTGCATCCTCCACACATATCAAGGTAGGCAATGATTTGCTCCTCTGTGGGCTACAAGTGTCCCAACAACTTGAAAATACATCCACATGCACAAGGCCTCTAACTTGATGATCATAGTAGCATAGTGTTATCACACTGGTTACAGTGGAAACAAAAAATCCCAAAAAGTACTTCCCAATGCAAATCGAGTCATATCTTAACATTTCTAACTGTCTCTTCCAGTAGCACATTCTACAGAAAGACACTCTAGATTGAATAATGTGGTTTGAAAAAAAGGTTATGATTCCTGTTTAAATGGATGACTTCTTGTATCTTGTGAATGGGGCTGGTCAAACAATAAACTTGAGAGACATCATACTTTTCCTTTTGAACCTTGTACACTTTTATCGTAGATATATGTTTAATGTGTAGATTATTATTTTATGCATGCAAGTCAGGCACCGCAAAGCAGGGGGCTAGGGGGGCTATAGCCTCCCACTTTTTGCAATAATTGAAAAATATTAAGAATTGAACCACCAGTTCAGTTCAGTTTTCATTGACAATTATAACTAAATACATAATACGAAGAAATGCAATCGAATTACCTAAATTAACTAAAACATTTTTTTTATCCGAATTTTCATGGAACACAAGTTTTTTCACCTTTAGGAAACCCATCAAGTGTTCTTATTGGTTTTTTTTCTTCTGTATTTTGTATACCAAAATATTATAGAAAAAGAAGAACACAAAAATTTTTAAAACTTACCATCCTGCAGCAGACACATCACACCACCCCAATACAACGGTCTCGTTTAGATCCTCTATCATTTTCTCAAAATAATACTTGATAATTGTTCCCACTTTCTCGTGTCTTTTGAAGATTTCTTTCCCTCCAAAATACCCCTGCCCTCTTTCCCAGACAGAATCACTAGAACAAGAGGCTGGTCTTATGTCAAGAGAGGCTGCACCTGGAACCGTTCAAAAAATGGCGGACTTTACAGACGATGATGAAGTGATAGATGGAGACGATTTTTACGCTATATTGAATGTCCGGAAAGAGGTATTTTGAAAATTTGTAAAATAGTTCAATATTATCTTAACCAAAAAAGTTAATCTGAACAGACCCTAGATTTTCGCAGAAAAAGCTAGTTCTGATTGATCGTTGTTGCATCATCTTTTTTCACAAGACAACTCCTTGCCACATGGTGACGTTTGTATAAAGTTTTGCAGACAATTTTAAAAATAAATCTATGCGTCTTTTTAATACGTTGCATATAACAACACATAAGTTATCCTTGATGTATACACAGGCCTAAACTGGTCACAAAACAAAATGTATTTTGAGACAGGGAGAAGGATTCAGTTGTTCACCGCCCCATTCCGTTAGCTGAGACAAAATTGTTGTTGATTGTTGCTTATCTGCCAGTGATATGTGAGCTGCAAGAAATAATTCAGTAGACACTCATTCTTGCGATTCACGGACACCATGCTTAGAAGAAAGGATAATTCAGGGGTAATTCAGGGGGTGCTCTCTCCAAGATTAGCCGAGAGAGCACCCCCTGAAAAAATTTCCCTTCATACAATTTAATATATATGCTATTATTTTTTCTTCATTTTTGTATTTGCTCTGTATTAGGTTTGTGTTTAATTTGTATAGTGTATGTGGTATTGTATTAGTGTAATTGACAAATTGTATGTAATGGAATAAAAATTCCTGTATCATTGATTGATGAGATCATTGCTTTGGGGACTGTAGTGTTCCACCATGATATTACCAGGCCATTATCAGCCAGTCTGAATGCACACAGTTTAAAAATGGTGGCACATATTTTCTTTTGTTCAAATTTTGTGCAAATTTAAATTTTATTCAAATGATAATGATAATGAAGTTTGCATAAATACAAGAAAAGAGCTGAGAGAGATTCTTATTTTCAAATCAATTACAGTTTTTTATGCTTATACTGTCAAATAGTATCTTATTTTATTAATCTGTAGGCCTCAAGTGATGAAATTCGAAATGCATACAAACGCATGTGCACCTTATATCACCCAGACAAGCATCAAGGTCAAGAGAAGAAACAGGTCAGAAACATGCTGCATTTCAAAGTTTTGAGGGGATATACCTACATGGGCCAAAAGTCAGCTTTCTGTTTAAGATCTGTTTATGAGGCAATAAGCCCAAAAAAATTAACTTGAGAAACTTGATAAATAACTTGATACCGCTATCCATTAACCATTGACTAGATAAATAGTTTTATAACACATGGTGATATTTTGAGTAACAACAGCTAAGTTCTAGAACACCATCCAAAATAGCTTTGGCCAACAAATTGGTTTTAAGTTTCAAAGCTTGATACCAGTAATGTTTCTATTTAAAAAAGTGACTTTGCTTTTTGTTATCAGTTTTCAATATCCCTTGATATAAAGAAGTAAAAAAATTGATTCCTTTTTAACCTTCAACTGCATCCTCGATCTTTCAAATAAAAAACAACACAATGTAAAACATGTGATTACGCTATAGGGCAGCATTTACTAGAAAACCGAAATTGTGCTAAAAACTATAATGTCGACATGTTTCTGATTATTAGAAAACCCCGATTGTTGTTCCATCTAGCAGTTTTGGAATCTATCCTCATAAACACGAAAAACTGCTTTTGTGTAGACAAAAGGAGTATACATTTTCACCTTAGGACTCTATAGGCAAGTGGTACTGATTAGGAAACTTCAGCAGTCATATGCTCACGTTTTCTGATTGGCCTATTTTGATCTGCAATTGGGTATGTGAATTTCCTAGCATAGAGCTTTCGATCCATGTTCTGGTGTTTTATACTCTGAAGAGTGTCAGACGAAAAGCTTAAGTATGACTCAAAATAAATGCTTTTTTCAAAGCCTTTTTTAATTCCTTTTTGCTATTCAATTTTTTTTAAAAATTGAGATTTAGGGGTGTACCAGATCAGGATTTTCAGAATCCGACCAGAACTGGATTTACTGGATCTCTTCATAGAATCCGGCTGGATTATCTAGCCGCAATATCCGACCAGTTTTGTGATAACAAGCACTTTCCTTTCAAATCCATTTTCAGGGCTATTGTTTCATCATTCAACCGAATACCTACTTTCTCAAAAATAAGCCACAGCGTATTTTGTTATTTGAAATGAAACATTTGGCCTATTTTTGAAGCGACTTATTTTCTTGGTGTTTTCTGAAATAAAAATATCCATTTTATACTATCCGTTTCAATACTTTCCATTGATGAACACGACCCCCCCTAGCCCAATCAAAGGCAACTGGCCAGATTTTGGAAACAAATCAGGCTGGAACCAGATTTTCAAAAAATCATGGATGCGGTGTCGAATTATCCTGCCTACAGGATATCTAGTACACCCCTACCTAGCTTGTTAAAAGTTCAAGACCAAAAATTCAAGCATGAAAATCTTTCTTGTTTAAAGAAGATGTTATACTTTGTTATTTTTTTGTGTGGATTGATGATATAGCTATCTGATCTGATATTAAATTTTATTTCAGGTAGCTGAAAAGTTGTTTAATAAAGTTGGGAAAGCTTATGAAGGTAAATTATTATAAAAATTGTATCTTTGTCTTCATTAGCCTGTCCATGGACCATTTGAAGAAAGTAGAAATGTTCAGCAGCCTTAAGCAGAGGCTGAAACAAACGCTAAATGAAATTAAAGAGTTTCCTGACTCAGAATGGAAGCAAAATTTCACTATTTCTGAAAAAAGCACGACAAATTATTTTAACAGTGCACATACAGAATGTAAGTTTAGGCTCGAAAAATTTTAAATGAATGTATGTGCAAGAAACATAGATGTCGCAATGAAATCGACTGGTAGGCTGTAATCATTCTCATTTCATTTGGTGAGCATCTTTCAAATGGCCTTGAACCTGATGTCATGCAAGCGCCTTCTTTACATGCTTTCAAAAATGGAATAGATATAACATCTTTACTGTTATGTTTCTTGTATGTACTTTAACATTCTTTTATTCCTGCAAGACTTGCCTAAACCTTTTTCTTTATATTGATTCATTCAACTTGATATTTCCAGTTTTAAATAACCCTGATAAAAGAGCAATCTATGACATTTATGGTCACAAAGGACTCTTGGCCGGTTGGGAGGTAATGTTTTTTACTGTGGATATTTTTAATATACTGTATATATTTATATATGTAATATAGTGTAGTAAAAATATAACTATTGAGACCCTTGGGTGTGTAGAACAGGATGATCCTGAGTGAATTTCAAGTTTAGTTTAAGTAAAAATTCACAGACCAAAATGTGATAATTTGCACCTTAAAGGAAAAGAAAATTACACAATATTGATTTATCAATATATGCCTTAACTTTGGATATATTCAAGATTCTATGACTTTAATAAGGTTCTATTCAAATAAGAAAAAAAGTTCAGTAAGGCATTCAGTTTTTGGATTAGAATGTTGTTGTGGTGGAATTATTATCATGCTGTTCTAAAAGGCTTGCCAAATTGGAAGCTAATACCTGATATCCGTAATGGTAACACAATTCCTATAGCAAGAGCAATCACTGACAAAATTACTTGGAAAACACGCAAATCTTTGCACAGTGCTTTTCTATTTTTCATTTGTTTTCCCAAATACAACTACTTCCGTCTCCCTTTCCCCCCATAACAACGTTGAAAGCATAGAAAAATGCCAACATGCCTCAAGAAAAATCATACTCCATAACCCCTTTCTTTTTTCTATAGTAAATCAAGGGTAACTGAATTTGACTTTGAAAACCTACGTTTATGTCCCAACACTTTTGGCAGTTATTGTAGGTTGAGCTTCTGATTACAGTTTAACAATGAAATTATTTTGATAATGTTTCAAACCTTCCTTTGCTGCATTCTATTTTCCAAATTTTTACAGTTGATGATCTAAACTATGCTATGTTGTTTCATTACCTATCAGTTTCTATTGAAATTATGTCCACATTTGCAGCATATTTCATTTACTGAAATTCCAATCAAGCGTTTTACATATTTCAGGTAGTTGAAAGACACAGGACGCCACAAGAGGTAATTTACTTGCATTGCTTCTCGTTTTATTTTACTTTCTCTCACTCAAATTCTTTATTACTTTTTACAGGACGCTGTCAGCTCATTCGAACACGAAATTTTTAGAAGTACTTTTATCTCACCTTTTAAGACCACTAGAATTATTTGAAGTCGTCTTTTAAAAATCTGAGTTACACTGAAAAATGCAAAATGATAGTTTTATGTAGCTGCAAAATATAAAACATGACGCTACATATTTTAAGCATAAAAGGAAGTTGTATGAAATACAGATGGTTCTAATCTATTTTTATTTATCTTTTAGATACAAGATGAATATGAGAGGCTTAGAAGGCAAAAAGAGGAACAAAGGCTTCTGCAAAGAACAAACCCAAAAGTGCGTTTTTTGATTAAAGAGTGAAATTGCTTAAGCGTGAATTCGTATTAATATTTTGTATTGTTTATTTCAATAAATTTTGATAGCATAAGCAATGGCGTAACAGAGGCATTTGGGGCCCTTATAAAACTATCTGGGTATCTGAGACGGGGCCTTGCTTAGAGACTGCGAGAAAGTCCCATTAAACGCTGTAAAGCATGTCAAACACAATAGCAAATGTAGAGACCTTTTTTGTTAACTCGGAGGATGCTCTGAAACTTCGTTTGAAGAAATGTTTAACTGATGTCGGAGCAACCTTGATATCAAATAATTTTTAGCCCTTTTTTGGTGGGGGACCCTTAGTTATTGAACTAAGGTGCCTTAAACTGTGTTACGCCACCGAGAAAGTAAAAGTTTAAGAAGTTGTCACAGTTTCAATAGAATAAATGCCACTATAGCTTCTGTACATCAGTTGTGAAAAGTCTACAAACAAAGTTTTAGTGAAAAACAACATGTTTTCATAATTCAATTTTCCCCATTTGCAGGGATCCATCAGCGTCACAATAAATGCCACAGAACTTTTTGACTCGTATGAAGATCAATACTATGATGACGTTGAAAGGGGATTCCCGAATATCGAAGTGAAAGGAATGTCCATACAACAGTCAATCGAGGTAACTCTGTCGCGAATTCTTTGGTTAAATGAAGAACGGGGGTTAGCTTGAGTAATATTTTTGGGTCTGGCCTTGGCAATGATGGCTGAAAATTAACTGCAAATCTCAACCTCTTGACTAAAATGATGAACCCACACACTGCTCAGCTTGTAGGAACCTGTTTGTCAATGCTTGTGTTGTGTATTACTGTACCTCTTGGACGATGATCCAAAGCAAAATTCTAACCCTTGGTATGGTTTCGAATGAGTGACCACGTGCTAAAAGGTACATTAGTGCATTATCGGTCTGATCATCCAAGTTCTGGGCGCCGTTAAAATTAAAAGCTCAGTATATAAGCCCTTAGTTACAATCATCAACCCCCCTTACCAGCGTAACGATCGTTTTCAAGGTTTATCTTTTTCTTTGAATTGAAAAGGTACAAAGGCAAATGTTTATGCCAAAAAATAATGCGCATTTGTAATCTAGATGAAATACCGCTTATATTATCTCGCTGTAATCACTGCTAGTTTTATTTTAAATGCCAATAAAACATGAATGTATATGTTTGAAAACATCTTACAAATGCCATCACATATGAAATCGAATCACATTTGTCTGTTCTAATTCATTGTATCAACTGTAACCAATACACAGTACTGTGTAGACAAAAGAAGTTCGTTTTCAGCTTAGGACTCCATTGGTAACATTCTCAATAGGCAAGTAGCACTGATTGGTCAACCTCAACAGTCCTGATCTCGTGTTTCTGATTAGCCTATTTTGATCCACAACTGGGTATATATATTTCCTAGCATAGTGTTTTGATCTATGTTCTGACGTTTTAAACTCTGAAGAGTGTCAGACGAAAAGCTTTAGTTTACTAAATGTTTGCTTTTTTCAAAGCCATTTTCATATTTTTATTGTATTGACACTTATTGTATTGTAGTGATTCATTCATTCAATTTTAGATAATAGCAAATGCTTTCTTATATCCTTTTTAAGCGTGCTCAGTAATTTCATAACACGAGACTTCAGCAGCTTATCTCTAGTAAACCACTTGTGAACGGAAGATCGCCTGTTCAAAATTGGTTATTATTCATTTGACAATTGATTTCACAGGAAATTTTCATTGTCATCAAATATAGCTGGAATATTTTGTCACTTCGAAACCTTGGTCTTCTTTAGCTTGCCTCACAAAGCAGAGACAAAACCTCCTTTTACGTCTTTGACCTTGCAACCTTGTTATTGCACTTTAGCAATTTCAAATGCCATTGCATGCAATGAAACTATTACTTTTATTGTAAGAGTAATCTTTATTTTTTCTTGATCTAGGCACCACTCACGAGATCAGATACCGCTGTCTTATCAGGTGCGCTGCAGGTTCAAAATGGCATAGGTACCGGCAATGTTGGCCTGACAGTCAGAAGGGTGGTATCACACCAGGCATGGGGAGAGGTCCGTAGCACCATCTTATGTTTTCTGTCTCCTGGTTGCTCTCAAATAGATGATGGTAGAACAATCTGTCTCTCAAAGTATTTTTGACATGCCCTTAACTTGCTCTTATGGATAATAGATTTATTCAAAGAGGTCTTTGGTACTGCAATATTTTAAATTATGATACTAAGGGGGGCAAGGGAGGGGCTCTACTGAAGTGTTTTCTAGGGATGTACCGGATATCCGGTAGGCCGGATAATCCGGCGCCGGATCGCTGATTTTTTGAAAATCCGGTTCCGGCCGGATTTGTTTCCGAAATCCGGCCAGTTGCCGGATTTTCCAGAACTTTAATCAAAACTAAGAAAATTTGGAAAACCAAGTCAGACTCCCTTCATACAGTGATGAAAAATGGATTTTCCAGAACTAGACAATACCAACGATAAAACAAGCGCCTTGAAAACAGATTTGAGATGAAAGTGCTCGTCATCACGAAACAGGAAGACTGGATGATATAATTCACAAATTTGGTCTAGGGTTGCCAGATCGGCTTTTTAGGCCAAATTTTTCATTTTTGGTTTTTAGATTTAGATTGCCTGGAAAATTTTTTTTTTGCTTACTACTTAAATTTGACCTTGTTGGCCTTTTCAGCAGACGTCCAAAATTAATCAGTAATGTGTATGAAAGTAATTACTACATTCATAGAATAATTAGTAGTTAACTACAAAGTGTTAACCAAATTTCAAATTTTATCACTAACCTAAATATTATCTTGATATTAGCAAAGGGTTTTGAAAAAAGTAAGATTCTTGTCAAAGTTAAGAAATTATCTAACAGGCACAAGCGTAGAAATATAACCAGTGCCTGCTCGATGGATTCTTGAGAGAGTTTTTGATTTGGCCTTTTTATGAGCATTTTGGCTTAAATTGCTCACCAGTCTAGCCTTCATTTGTAAATTCAATCTGGCAACCCTGAATAGGTCTCTTTGATCTTCTCGCTATACATTTTTTCGCAAAGTGGCTCAAAACTTTTTATTACTGAAAATTCTATAAATGGTCAGATTATCCGGTAGAATCCGGCCGGATATTCCACGAAGAAATCCGGTAAATCCGGTTCCGGCCGGATTCTGAAAATCCTGATCCGGTACACCCCTAGTGTTTTCATCCTATTCGCTGTAGATGTCGGGTAATCACGTGAAGGGAAGAATGATGTGTTTGACTGGCTCTTGTTTTTGACCAATCAGCAACAGCCAACCCCTCGAATAGAAATTAAACTCGTAATATCTTAACTAGCCGTGATCTGTTGTTTTACTGTAGAAAGACTCCCAAACGCCTAAGTGAAAAAACTTGCCCAATGACTTAAAATATTTTCATCATTTCTCCTTTCTTGTGTCCATTATCCGAAGCTCATACTCTTTTGAGTGTCAGGCACAAAGTGTTTTAGTATGATATATTTCCGCTTTTCCGTGCTGTTTTTCAGATCACACATTTTCAGATCCGTGCTGTCTTTTGGGCAACTGTATTGAAAATAAATGATCATTGCATTCTCTCTTATAAAAGAAAGTTGCAATATTGAAGATGTTTGTTGATATAACAGAAATAAGATCCCATTCATTGATTGCTTCCCTTCTACTCAAACAGTTTTCCAGCCGATTTTATTTCGATATCATCGATGTTTTTTTCTAATTCGTACAGATCGATGTCCGCATTGGAGATGGTCCAAAGGTCCAAATTAAAGGTTTTCGACATTTAACCAAAAAGATGTAAGTAAGACAGGTTTCTGTCTCAATAAACAATGTTCATTTATAACTATAATTTTCATTTAACCTTCTCTATTAATCTTTTAGCGTTAAGGTTACGGTAAACGTTTTGAACACGAAAATTGGTTTTTTCTTCCTAAAGGCCAAACGGCTCAAGGAATCTGGATAAACTATATATCATTCGATGCACAAGATTATGGCGTATCTAGCCAGATAAAAAGTATTGGCAAATAATGTTAAATGTTATTTTCCATGCGAATTTACTGGTCAAAAAGTGTACCACCTTCAAAAGCTATTATGTACCCTTGCGTTTGAGGTAACAAAATCTGACTTAGACCAGCAGGAAGTGCAGGTCCTAAGCTACCAAAGTGTGTCTCAGATTTTTTAAATTCCTCCTCTTCTTGAAACTATGCCCTGTCAAAAATTGGCAAATAATTGTTCCACCCTCCCGCAGCTGTATTTGGGTATAAAAGACGGACCAGAGAAAATAAAAAAATTTTGAGACACACTTTGTTTGCCCAACGTCTGCCCTGGCCGTGTGCAAATTTTCGAGCCATTCGATTGGTTCCTTGGGTACATAATAGCTTTTTCGTACCTGCATGTAGAGGAATTTCGAGTCCGGAGAAAACGGGATTTTACTGATCGCACTTGCAAGATACACTCGTAAACCACAGTGTAATCCGGGTCAAGTCACTTGAAGATTTAAGATTTATAAGCCTGTTTAAATAAACACGGCCGTACATTGGGTATATGGATGTGCCATGCGATATTGTAAATGAGACATGCGACTACAACCGCAAAGCAACGATAATCGGCTTAAAAGGTCAGGAGATTTTCAGGCCTCAACTAAAAGTTTTGATAAAGAAATTATGGAAACCTTCGTTTACATGGGATTTTTTCCACTTTCAAAATTTCTGTTTGTTTCAAATTTGGTGTCATTGTGTGCCTTGAAAGTTCGGCTACTTGAATGTGAAAAAATCGAAAAAATGATGTTTTCATCCAGCAAACGTTTACCGTAACCTTAAATGTAGCTATAGTTAGCAACAGCACTAAATACTGCACCAAATTCCTTTGCATATTTTATCTTCTATTCAAGCAGAAGATTTTTTCCTATCACTGGCTATACCTTACAAACGATCTAAACAGGATTTTGGTATAGCCTTTGGTGCTACTGTAGTGCTTTTTGTTAAGGTCAATGGGTAGCCATGTCTATTATGCTCCCATTGGCATCGTCTCTGCAATCTTGTTCTTGTAAAATGTACTTTTTTAGATTGAGTATAAAAAGATGCTAAACGAAGGCTAGCGTTAGCTAATCTCCTGTACTGAAAATTGCCACCTTTAAACAGTCGATTTCAATAAGGTATGCTTAATTTTTAAGCCAGGATCGACAAGAGAGATATGGCAAGGTGGTTCTCCAAGTTGAAAGCCTAGTTCAACACCAGTCATTGGCAATACACATTAACAATATTTTTGACACCAGGGGTACCTTAAAGGGTTAAGCTCTTTCCTTTCAGAAGGATTTTGGAGCGTTTAACCCTCCCCTGCCCTTAAAAAGCGAACAGATGGAGTAGCAACGAAATCATACCATTAATTATCAATTCATCGCTAAAAATACCATGAATGACTTGGAATGTTCACTGGGCAGTTACTTCGGTACAGACAAGCACCTCCTTTTCGTGATGGCATTTGCGTATTTCTGCTGTGACTCTTTTGCTACGACCAATTTAGGTATGACGTTAATACGGATATAGGTAAATTCTCAGTGTATCTGGTCCATGTCAATGCAAGTTCTGCCAACTGTCTCAAATCATGTTCATACCACACAGAATTATTTAAATTCTGTTTTATGTTTCAGGTATGGAACAGTCTCGCTTGTTTCACAATTCAAACAAAATTTCATGTCAGCTGGACTTCAAGCTAGTATGTTTTATGTTTTGTCGATTGAAAATAAATTTATAAAGTATCAGGTTTTTCTCTGGAACATCGAGATACTTTTCTATTCAAGAACATCGAAAAAGAGCTTGTTGTTATGTTATCCTCACGAAGAAAGCTTCGCCAAAAACTCTAAGTGCAGAGAACAGTATGCTGTTTTGAAAAGTACCTCGAGCTCTTTGGCTTTGTGTCTAGTTTTAGTCATTACGATTATTCAAGAACTTCAGTCTACAATGAAATTCCATATAATTGCAGCCTGTAATACTGGTTGCTTTTAGAAGTCCCCGAAGCCCCTAACCACTAGAAAAAACTCGGCAACAACATCAGGCAATGGTCATGACAAGCATATGGCAACCAAACAAAATCAGAAGGAGCCATTTTAGAATTTTAGATCTTCGAATCATGTTTTTTCTCGTCACGGTTCAAGTCATAATTATGACGTCAACGATTTTATGTTCCTCTTATCTCTTTGCAAGTGATAATGAGGCAGCTCGGCAATCATACAACTGGCTATCTAACATGGGTAGGAGGCTTTAATTCTGCCATGACTGCAACAATCGACCACCGGATAGAACACCATCATCTGAATGGGACACTTCAAGTATGTTGTCACAATTTGTGCTTTGTTCTGAACAGTATTCTCAAGTTCCTAGAAGTGCCTGTCCTTTATATCTTAAATCTGTTCTTTGACAACATGGCTCTCTATTTTCTCCCTTATTGAAGTCTCGCATTTCCTTAAAAACTTTTGTCCTATAATATTGATATATCCTATATGACAATATTGAAGTGTCACAAACTTTTGCCCGCACACAACTTCTCTTGGTTATAAACATATCGGTGCCCTTCTCCACCACCAAATATCCCCCTGAAGCTATGGGCGTGAGCTGCAACCTTCCTGTGCGCTTCCTAATTTTCATCTGTTCTCAACCCTAGCTGGGAGTGGCAAATACGTTTGGAATCCTGAATTACCAGTATGTGCCTGACAGCGATACCAAAGTCAAGGCATGTGTTAAGTAAGTCAAGGCATGCATTTATTTGAAAAAGCGAGCAACAAATTGGACTGAAAAACATTATTTCTTCTTTTTCTGGAAATATGGAACTGTTGTTAACTTTTGAACCTGTAATTTGACTTTGCTTTTAATTTTAGAGTTGAAGAGCCACACTTGTAGTGGATATGCTCGATTGTACCATTATTATTATATTATTATATTATTATTAAGTTAAGTAGAGGTACACAGGGATTGCATTGAAAACGGCTCGTTACCACACTGGCCACTGTCTGCAAGTTACTATCTGTGTATTATGGAAAGAGATCGTATGGTATTATGCAGTTTGATAAAAAGTCTTTTGCGGTTATTTGCAATCACCGCATGTTATTCAAAATGCCCTGTTATCGATTCTCAGCCCCAACTATCATGTTTTTAAATTCTGCTTCTCCAAAATTAACAAATTAGTTTATGTTCAAATATTTTCGTGTCGTTAAAGGTCCCTGCTCCAAGTCTATTTTGTGCTTGAGAGAGCAATTCATATTTGTACACAGGAAGGAAACAAAGCTCCTCTCTCAAGCACGAAATAGACTTAGGGCAAGTCTAACGTCCTCTTTGCAAATAAATCTCTCTCTAACATCGGTTCTTCAAGTGAAGATCCTCCCCCTGGTTTTCGATTGACGTCGTTATCGTTCATTTCCCTCCAGATATGGTCTGGTGTTCGGTCCGATTCTCGAGTACGGCTACGACCATCAGGTCACGACAAACAGCCGACTTGCTGCTACCATGATAGTCGGACCCGTCACTGGTGTCACTATGAAGTTGAAGTAAGCATTCATTTATCGCCGTTTTTTCTTCTTGTGTCTTTGGTTCTTCATGTCAAATACTTGTAAGTTAATAATTTACAAAGTTTCCTTGGCTCTCACCTTTTTCATTCATTCCTGTCCTATTAAATTTCCTGTTCCTTTATTTAGAATATATTTTTGCCTTAATTCTTTAAACGTAACGCGATTTTTGCACACCACTGATTTAGGATTTAGTTAAACAAGGAAGAAGATCAAGTAAAATATTTAAAAACTTATTAGGCTTTTTAGCCATTTTAAAAATAATCTAATATTAAGTCAAAGTATTTGTTAAATCGTATGATTTTGGAGTTAAATTATTTACATCTTTATGAATATTTCAATAATAACATGGTTTGTAAAGGCGATAGACTACAGTGTTCAAGGTATTTTTTAAAAATAGAATCTTCGGCCAGGTCTCGCAGTTTTTAGAGGCGTAAAGACGGTTGATTCACTCCAATAAGACCCGAATAACAAATATGGATTCTAATATTCTTGCTTTGCTTAAGACTTCGTTTTCCTCTGGTCCTGTAACCGCCTTTTTCAAAGTCAACAAATGAATGAATTGCGATTCTTTGAACGTTCTTGGGTGGTGCCTCTTCTATAACAGGCGTCAGATCGGAACGAAAAATCAATAAATAAGCGAGCATGCTTCATAGATGTGATAGCTGTCTTTTTAAAAGAAGCGTAGACGACCTTAGTGCTATATAACACGCCAGGCTTCACAGTGGCAACCAATTTATTTTTCCTTCTTCATTTCATGTTTGAATTTCCACGAAACATCGCCAATCCCGGTTATTACTTTGCCAGTCTCAGCCACTGCTGCGGGACGAAAATACTAAAGTATGCTTCCACTTTTCAATGCTATCTTAAAACTCTGCGGCACCAAAGGTTGATCTGCATAAAAACAGTCCTACCAATCAAAGAAGCTGTGTTGTTTACCAATTTTGTAAGCTAGATATGTAGTACGCACCGTTCAAAATCAGTGGATGTAATTAAACAGATCAGTAGAAAGCATATATTGCAATAACGGTAGATTACAAGTACCCATGCTTTGTAATATCTTACACTACGGTATCATTTTAAAAATCATGCAGGTATTTTAATGTTTTTAAGAATTGTATGTTACAACCTCAATGGCTATGAAAAGCATCTTTTTTATTCCAGACTAGTTCGCTTCGGTCAAGTGTACAGTTTTCCAGTAATGCTATCGGAAGCAGTGTCACCATCTGCTGTGTTCTATGGCTCAGTCGTTCCTCTTTTGGCCTACTGGTCAATAAAAGTCTTGATAATCAACCCGTTCAAAAAGAAGGAAGAGGAAGAGTATGTTGCTATTAGCAATAACAGTTGTTTTCGAGTCTTTCGAAAACAGTGCCTGCTCTTAAAAGATTATTATTCCGAAAGTAAGGACCAGCATCGCATGAAACTGAGACGGATAACATGCTTTGATACATTTTAGATTTCTTTTTCAGACTACGTAAATCTGAGCAACCCTATACCTGCTAACATATTGAAAAATTAATATTAATGAAATTTTTCGACTTCCTAGAGATTTTTTCGATGCATTTAGAAACTAATAGATTTTGGTGGATGAGTGACAGGCTTTTTTGAGAGCAAGAAAGACTTTAGATATTGTTATCTAGATACCATTCTCATCTTTAGATACTGTTAAATTTGTACTCTGGGTGTAGACTAATAGTGTAACAGCGTCTGTCTGCATGTTCCTCTGCAGGGATATACAGATGCAAAGAGAGAAATATGCTCGTCAAACGGCCGAAAAACGAAGGCAGGCTGAGGAGGCCGTAAGTATTTAGTAGCATCAGATTCCGTTTTTTGGGTATGGGAGAGGTATACGGGTTTAGGATTCAATCCTTACGGGAACACTTTGTTTTTGATGTCAAGTTTCAAGGTCGAACGCAACCTTCCCCCTTTACTCCTTGAAAAAATGTTGATTTGTAAATTATAAACTGCGAAATGTCGTAGGGATTAGAAATCTCCACGTGACTTGTATCATTTTTGCATATCTATCAACATAGTTGTGGGGGAGGGGAGGCTGAGGATGGGGTAAGCCTTGTTCAAAGTATTTTTGACAGCCATTGTAGCTTTAATAGATTTCTAGAAACAGTAAGAAACTGTCTGTCACTATGAATACTTCTTTATTGAAACTACAAGACGACAAATTTTACTTCAATGGTTTTTGAATAACTCTCTATGTATTAGACCAATAATTCGATATTTTATTTCTTGTCAATCGACAATGAAAAACCGACACAAATCATTTCTAGAGCATCCGCATGGTATTGAAAAGAATAGGCGATAGTCGGCATCCTTGTCAAACTCCTCTAGCCATATTCAAAACTCCTTTCCTTTCTTGCCCGAATCGTTACCTCTCGATTCATAAAAAAGCTTGCGATTTATGTACGGTCGCTTCAATCGTAGATAATAACTTTATCATCATTCGGATAATTTTTAACCTCTCAGTTACAAGTAGCTTGAAATTGGCTAGTCTTTTTGCAATATATTTTTTTCTAATCGGAATATAATACTGTTTAAAGTATCGAATGCACACAAATTTGCCTTTACCATATAATTTTAAGGCCCAAACAAGAGTAGTTAAATCTTTGTTATTTGCAGATCAGTTATTCATGCCCCCCCCCCCCGCAGTGGCATAATGCAGTTTAGGGCACCTCAGTTCGATAACTAGGCCCCCCACCCCCGACCAAAAAGGGCCCCAAATTATTCTATAGACAGGCTGTTACATCACTTAAGTTCGCCTTGATTTCAACAACATTCAAAGCTCTTCAACTGAAGACTCGATATCTCAGATCCCCCGAATTAGTCAACATGAGCTGCAGAAGACATGGATGGGCAATGACCGTAAAATTTGCTGACATCGGGTTTCTTTTTAATGGTTTATAGGTAGAACTGATGCAGGATGTATACCGTCGGTCGGTGGAGACAGAGCAAAACAAAAAAGGTGAGCGCCCTTCCCTGGTTCTGTATTGCGTTCATACACTGTCGATTGTTTATAAATACCTCGAATTCGGTAACTGAAAATCACTTTGTTTGTTTTAGGACTTGTCATATTAAATGCTTGGTATGGGCAGCTTGTCACCACCGAAAGGTCAGTTTGCCTTCCAATTAATCATTTGCTCCAGTTTTTGTCTGTAAAGTTCATTTTTGTAACTTTTAAGCCAATTTCGAAATTTAACATCCATATCAGAATTGGACTCAATTCGATTTATTTCACTAAATTTATATTTGACTTTAATTCATTGACGCGTGCTCTTCGCTTCTCAGGTCTGAAGTCGACACACCAAAAGTTATTGATGTCACAGTACCCTTACAGTGTCTTGTTAACGGTTCTAAACTTATTCTTACAGAAGCTAGTAAAGTGAGTGCATCTTTGTTCTCTACATCCTATTGGCTATTGGCTATAAAATTATCAAAGTATCAATTTTAATCTTTTCCACCTCCATTCTCTCCCACTAAAGTCTTGTCCCGTCACCTTTTCACCCCTTTCTGAAACGCAACGGTTTTTTCATCCACTTAAAATCACAACATGTGGCCTACTTACAGTTATATATCTGGTAAAGAGACTGCCTTTCCCTCTTAAAGAGAGAAGAACCAGTCTTTTCTTCGACAATTCTAAAGTCCTGACCAAGCACATAGTTGCACTGTCGGTTGGTAGTTGAGCCAATCAATGAATGGAACGACTTCTGCTAGCCCCCCCAAATGGATGACATATTTAACCCATGATAAGCATGTCATCAGAAGGTTGAAAACGCCTTTTGCGCCATGATAAACATGTCATCATTTTCCTGTATTTTCACGGCTTCCGCTCTTTCGCCTCACAATGATGAGCTTTATTTCTCGACTGATGAATGTATGGCCTAAGATTTGTGTTCTCCCTCAATTTTTTCTGTCTGTAGTGGCAATAGAAATACCTTTTAATCAGTAATCATTACAGTGGTTTTTGCGACCGGGAGAGGGCGGGGAGGGGGCGGGGACGGGGTTTACAAGGATCATCTCCAATTCCAAGGTGCTAGTTACATGCCCTACAAATCAGCTTTTTAAATTAATAAACTGTTTAAGGGCTATGTCCGAAACGTCTTATCACAGTATTTGTCCTATATATCGTTGTCATGTTTACTCAAATAATTGTCGCAAAAGCGTACAAATGACGGACATATTTAATATTATAACTTATCAAACTTATTTTTCCTCTTTTAGGCCAATTTAAGTGGGTTCTACGACCCGTGTATTGGTGAAGAAAAATCATTAAAATTAGTTTACGAGTTTAGAGAATTATTACACGAAGTTGTTATCAAAGACGACGAAACTCTACGGATTCCATTGCAGTGTGAGTTTAAATCATAAATTATTTTTAATTCCTTGTTTAAATTCAATAAATATTTTATTAGGTAAAATAAGTTTAGGTTGCGGTAATTTCCTGGCAATAACCCAAGAAACAAACCAGATTAAGAAAAGATCTAATTGATTTTCCATACATTAGAATTTCACCTGAGTGGAAATTTAATGATGACATATTAAGCTTGGGATGAACAGAATTGTTCCTGTTAATCCAATGTTTAATATTGCAAACAATCAAGATACCACCAGGCCTAAAATGAGATGATTTTGTTGAAAGAAAACAGTCTAGGATGCCGCAGCAAATTTCGATCAGACTTCATTTAATATAATCAGAGGTTTCAGTAAAGGAAATTATGAGTTCTTATTTGTGGTTTTAATAACCAGTTGTTGAAGTCTTTTCCACAGTTAAGTCTGAATTTCTACCAAGCAGCTGTCATTTACAGTTTATAAACATCACCTTTACTAATTTACTGAACTAGTATATTTTCCTTCATTTTTTCAGCTCACAAACGAGACAAATAAAGTCGCCATCTTGGTATAAGGTCCCTCAGCTTGGGCCTAAGCCGACCCAGTCTTAATTGGAGCGCGTTCGTGTGCAAACACTTCAAAAGTCGTGTGCTCTGTGATAGTGTGACTTCATTGTGATGACAAGAGTCATTTTTGGTTTGTCACAATAGTCTGCTGATGTCATTGCCTCGGAATCACTTGCAGACTTCTGCGTAAAATGAAAACAGCCTAATCTTTCCTTATATCCTTTTTGACAAACCGGGAAAGTGTGTTTCACCTCTAAAGAAATGGAAATGTACATATAGAAATTGGTATCCCGCTCGAATATTTCCTGTTTCATTCCTCAAAATGAAGAAATTAAATTCCCATCTTCATAGCATTCAAGTCCATACAATTTACCCGCGTGCAGATATATCTCTAGAAATAACCACACATCACTTTTGCCGAATGTAATTTTGGCATCTCTAAAGTCAATATTTATTCTCGTGAAGAAATCGTGTAAAACAATTGATTAAAAAGATTTAAACTAAGTTACCTCCAATAAATAAACATTAATCGAAAAGGAATACATTAATAACATTTATTAGTATCAATATTATTATTATTTTCAGCATCAGCAAAACATTAACTTGAACTATCTATCATTTGATTTGTGGGACCAGTCTTTTCTTGACTGCATCAGCTGATTCTATATTGAAGATTTATCTGTATAACTCTCTGCCTACTTTGTTTATTTAGAAAATCCACAACTGTGGGTAATTGAATTGAATAGGTAACACAGTCAAAGTAGCTTTCCACAACCCCTGTTGTTTTATTTAACTACAAAATGTTAGATGTTCTTTTGATCAGATGCTTCTTTTACTGCAGTGTTAAATTTTAATAGTATTTAGGTCTATGTATTCTATCAAACTTTAATTAACAAATTCGATATCATTCAAAGCGAAGCACGGGCAATTTTTCATGACCGTCGTTCTGTGAATTTTCACGACCCTGTGTGTTTATTCTGATGAAATGTCTAACGAATTATAAAACATGGATTATTTTACCGCAACGTGTAGCTGTTGAAAATATTAGAGAAGAACGCTCATAAACAATATTTGAAAGACCAGGTTAACCACAGTGGCTGATTGAAAATATCAATTGATACTTAAAAAAGAAGCGGGCCGTAAGAAGAAAATTTGGTGACTATTCTAGAAAAAGAAAAGATTATCTTTAGAAATCTTTGGATATCTATAGAAAGGTATGGAAATAAAGTGAGGTGTGGGTGTATGGGTCTGTCTTGATAATATAGCAAACATTAAAAACAAAGATCGTGATGAACGAAATGGCAGCAGGATCGTGAAGGCGACAATCAAAATTATGTGCTTGATATTATGGAAAATAATTGCGCCGAAAATACAGTAATAAATTATCCCATTATTAAAACTGATCAAAACAAATGACCTAATCATCAGGAAATTTTCTGAAGCCGACAAAGTTGAATTAAAATCGGGGGGGGGGGGCTTTTTCTGCAAGGCAAACGCTACAACCTCAAATATTTTTGTTGCTTCACTTTATTCCGTGGCCTTACTAAGGTACATAAAATCAACATCGTTTTAATTGCATACTCGAATGAAATAAGTTAACTATTGACAAAGTTTCGCAGGCCTTAGACGCAGTCTAATTACAATATTTATACCGCTTTAATGAACTATACTGAAAAGAAGGGGTTATTCTGTTCGAGGTTTTAAAACTATATATTTGAACGACGTTAATAAATAGTTAATGTTGTAAGAATATGCCTAATTTTTGTTTCTCGTATTCTTATACTATATTATTTCCTTCAGCGTATATCTGCACAACAGATCGCTTATATTTACAAGAAAATAAAAACACGAAAACAAGGTTTTCTGTTGCTAAGAAAAGAGCGAATTATATCTTTAAATCTATGTTAAAACTCAGATGATCACTATGCAACATACAACAAAATGACATTATGTTCGGGTATAAGATTAGAGGCATGACAATTTGAATCTCGGGTCAAATGTCAAAGGTGAGGATGAATCTCGGGTTAAACGTCTTTGCTCAAGCTTAGAGATGGGGGTTTAAGGTCAGGGGTGTTACTGATGAATCCTGAGCCACTAACAAGATGAGAAATCCAAGAAAATCCAAGAAAATCATGTTATTCTGTAATATCAGGTGAAGGGTCTAAGGCCAAAGTTCTTGGGCCAAAAGTAATAGATTTAGCATTGAAAGGCTTGGGTCAAAGGTCAAAAGTGAGGCCCTGGTGATGAGTCACCCAAGACGAGAGCTGTGGGTGGGTTTGACTGTGAACCGAATTTTCACATAAGTGATTCAGGATTGCTGTTTCCTCGCACAAAGATACCGCACGATACCCAGGATAAAATACGAATAAAATTTCATCCGGACGTTCTGTAAACAAATTCTGAAACTGCTTTTAAATACTTTATACATACCTCATGTTTTCGCGTCATCTTTGCATAACAGCGTATGTATGTGCATGCTTTGGAAACTTTTCGTCTTTTCTCGGTATTTGGGGTCATCTGGAAGGTGTTAACAAAATTGTTGAAAGCGTCTTTTAGAATAACGGGTAAGGTAGGGTGCAGCTTTGACAGGGGTACAAAACAGGAGGCTTTTGTGCAGGGTGGAAAATATAGAAAAAAAATAAAAAGGTCAATTTTTGAAAGGTCATCGTGTTTTTCTTCATCAATAACACAATCCCATCGTAACAGATTAACGTTGGTGGATTTTATTTGTGTAAAGTATTGATATTTCTTATTACAAAAAATGGTTTAATATGCAAACAAAAAGCGAAAATAAAGTATTTGAAGGCAACAAAGGCATTGACTTACATTTTCTCCAGAGTTGCTTATTTCGGTTGAGTTTGCCCGACTCTTTTTTTCCTCCAATCCGGTAACGTACTTGGCCGGTTCATTTGCAAAGAAGAGCCGGCTTGATCCAAAATAGAAGGAGCCATTCTTTCAGAGATTGCACCAACATCGGGTACATTTTTCCTCTCTTTGTAACGTCGATAGTAGCTTTGAATAACAGATGCAGCCTGACTCTTCTGCTTTTCCTTCTCTCTGTGTGCCCTGTATTTGTGCTGTATCACGACAGCCCCTCTCTGCATCTTTTTAAACATGGCGTACTGCGAACAAAGAGCAAGGTTGAGTTCCTTGAATGATTATTCGTCATTGGCAAAACCAACAAACTGGTATTGCACATATACAAAGAATGATTTGATACAGTACAGCTTAAGCGAATCTTGGCCTAACGTTTTAGAGAAAAACTTTTTGAAAGAGAAATGCGCTCATAAATTTAGTCAATGATCTTAGTAACAACCTGTATGGGGAGCTTGTCCAAAACAGCGATAAATTGTGTCGAAGGAAAGTTGCAAGCTGTATCTTTGTAATTCGCCTCTCCGGCTGGTTGGAAGACTATCTTTAGATTGTCTAGATCAATGGTATCGAAATTATTTGAGGCACTTTCAAAAGGAATGATTTATCACTGTCTAGCGAGGAGCTCGAAATGACTTGAAACAAAGCTAACTTCATAGGCAAACTTTAGTTTTTTTGATAGCAGGAAAAATACCAGACTGGGCAACCAGACTGGGCTGTTCTTTACAGAGCAGCCTTGATAACAAGAGGACCATATACACGTCAATCTGGCCGGAATTCGATAAACTAACCTGTTTATATCTTCTGTAGTAGCTTTGGATGAGAACAGCTGCAGAGAGTTCGGCATCACGCTGCTTTCGTCGCTCCTGGAGAACAAAATATGATGCAGGTATGGGGATTTCCAGAGGCAAATTCCATTTATATAACTTTGCATAAATACTAAAAGGGGTGGTGTCATTTATTTCTCAGGTGTATTTTGCATGATCAAGGAGGAATCTCAGATGGTATTCAACAACGAAGGATGAAAACAATCATAAATTTGAAATTCTCTTGCAATCAATTAACATGAGAATTATCTTGAGGAGAAGGAACACGAAAGTAATAGACACAAGGGAGAATTACTACAAAGGCGGACAAGAAGAAAGACCTCTCATAATGAAACTATATATTTAGAAATAAATATATCCCCCAGACATTTAGAAACAATGCTCTCTGTGTTTAAAATGTATTGGATAGTTCGCTGTCAATTTTCTTACCCGGTATCTCTTGTAGGCATTCTGAATCACAGAGGCAGCTTTATAAAGATTCTGTTGCTCCTCATCTAAAGAAAATGAGCTTTAACGGTCAAAATCAAACTCAAAATTGGCATCAAAATACCCTATCCATCTTAAAAAGTTTTACCGTTTATTAATACTATTCTAAAACGCAGATAACACGCTTTAAACTCGCTTTTAAATATGATGTACTCTTAGCTGTTATGGTTCGACTTTTTTGCGCCTTGTGGCCATATCTTTTAACAAAATTCAGTTTCTAGCCATTTCATCTGTTAGCTGTTAACAAATCGGGAAAACAGCTGTTGAAATCACAAAGACAGAGTTCTGCTGCAAGTTTATTTTTAAGTCCGCCTTCTTAACGGTCCATGCAGACAGGTGTATGCGCAAACTGTCCGATTCCAATAATAAATCTCGCACACACATCTGCGATGATTTTAAAAACAACGCGGATTTGTTTTTCAGTCATAAGAAAATTCACCTATTCAAAATTACTTTGCTTTAAAAGCATAAACCAGGGGGTTGAGAAAGCTCATATTTTTCGCTAGTTTTGCAATGATACGTGGTATTTAGTGCTCTCGTTTTGTCAGCGAATTTAGCAAAAACTTTTTAAAATCTTAGATATGCTTTATCAGTATTCTAGTTATCATGTCGTAAATAGAAGACAGAAGACCAACCTGTCAGTGTCAACTCTGCGAAGTCTTTTTCAAGGATTCTCTCTGAGTTATAAAAGAATTCACAGAATTCTGCAGTATCGCGCAACGTTGCATCAAAGGGAGACTGGCAGCCAGAACTTTGTCCAGGCGAGGCTGGTGACAAGGAAACCAAAGCTTTTGGTGTGTGATTGCCATGGCGATCATCGGCAGAGCTATTAAGTCTTCTGATACTGGAACGAGAAATTAGAGATGTTGTTTGGATTGGAGCAAGGTTTAACATCCCGTCCCGAACACTTTATGCATTCCGCAAAGGGTCCACAAAGGGTCCGCAAAGTGTCCGCAAAAGAAGTATGGTAATTTTGGCCAGAGGCTTAAGGAGATCTACAGAAATGAAGAGTCATGCACAAGGGGAGAGAAGCTTCAAGGAAAACTTACGGACGCTAACGAACTGCGAAATAGAATGAAGCCTCAACTAAGAATACTGGCCAAACAAAAGCTTACAAAATCCCTAAAAAGTAACAAAAATCGAAATTTAAGGAGGCTGATACTTATACCAAACAATGGCAAACAGTAATTTTGATATAAAGGTAACATGAATTTACCTTGGGGTGAATGGTGATGGGGTGAATAAGCTGTCGTCATCAAGGTCAAGGCTAGTCAATGGGGATGCCCTTGTAGGATCATGGTGGGCATCGACCCCATCTTGGATTATTGCTTGCACGTGGACCAGGGTTTGTCCCAATGTCCTGGATAGCTGCAGCGATCCGTTTATGGAGTCAGGCGCTGTTAAAGGAAAAAGAATTATAGAGATAAGAGTTGGCAGATTTTCCTTAATAAGAAATAAATCAGATTTCAAAGAGTCGCAATTCGTAAGTGCCTTAATTACTGTCAAAAAACAACCTATTACCTATATTGAATCTGAGGATTTCACAACCAAACTCTAGCAAAAAGCTTAAGTGGTTAATACCTTACGAAAATAAATTTACATGAAGAAACATAAGTTGCCAATTTATATATAGGCAAAATATTATTGTTAATTTATTTATCAAAACTTTGTTGAACAGTGTAACTTCCAGTATTGATCATCTTCCAAAAACAGATAAATTTTTCTGTCTTTAAAACTCCACTCTACAGACAAAACCTCGGACAAGTATCAACATCTAAATTTAACGGACACGTCCCTTAAACAGACTCCAGTTCTAAAGATTCCACAGCATGTAATACTAGGAAAATACCCAAGACTTACATCCGTCCTGACTTATTTTATTGGATCCCGGGCTTCTTCTCGAAGAATCAAAATATGTGGTGTCGTCAGTTCCGGGTTGGAATTCCCTACTGCTTTCAGCATGACTGCCCATGCTCGACGACCGAGATAATCGTCCGGACCGCATGTTTGGGCTTCCGCTTTCGGATGCAAGCGAAGAGGTTTTGCTGTGGGAAACATTATATGATATAAAAAATTTGAACTGGAAGGAAAAACGAGTTCTTGTGTTAACTAGAAAACGCAAGAAACAACTTTGATGCAGAGGTTGTCATTGAATGGTAAATCATTAAAATTCTAAAACCTAGAAGGAGGAAATTTTTTAAGAAAACAATTATTTCAATGTGTTGTATTAACATCAACTGATTCGATAAACAGATGTGTTTGCAAAAACCAGACAACAAAAAGCTGAACTAAACAGTAAATACCTAATGTTTCCTTTTGACTGTGACTTCTCTAGATACCTGACCAGAATCGAGTGGCCCTGGTCTCTTGAGATTGACAAAGGAGAGCAGCCACACATATCCGTTTGATGCACAGCCGACTCCTCCCACTGAAGCAGTACACAAACGGTGTCGAATTTGCCCTTGGCACAGGCCCACATGAGCGGTGTCAATTGGAACTGGTCGTATTTCAACGGATCTGCTTCTTGCAGCATAATCTTATTGCTGTTCGTTTCGATCCAATTACAAAGTGTTTGGATAAGTTTTGTGTAGCCGAGTGCAGCCGATAAATGCAGTACAGTCATCACACTGTCGCTCTTGTAATCAATATTAATCGGTAAATGATCTTGAAGTTTCGAGATCGATTCACAAACCCGTACTAACGCATCCTCCAGATCAACCGTATTGCACAAGTGACCCGGAAACCGTTGCACACTATTCCCCGCATCAAATATATCACTGATAGCCTCTATTCGCTCAACCAAAAGCAACTTCAAGTCTTCATCTGAGATTTTCAGCCAATCATGTCGTTCCTCCTGGAATTCATCCAATTGCTCCTCCGTATCAACATACTCAAAATCCACTGACTTCGTTATAACTGCGTCATTGCAAAGGACAGACACTTTAACCTTCCCGGGACTATGAGGTGGACAAAAACATCGCAAAACACCGTTCTGAATCAAATCACCTGGAGTGCAAACATTACCAAATCTACAAGAATACCTTGCATTTTTATTGTTCCAAGAGCCAATAAGGATAATTTTGCCACCCCCCTCGGCAGATGCGTATTCTGGTGATATATCAACAATATCTAGAATGCTTTTTGAGCCATCTCCATCATGCAACTGATTAACATCAACTTCCATGGAAAAAACTGTTTCTTCTGAGTTTGTTAGATTTCGAGAATTTCCCTCTGTTCCCTCGATTCTTGTCGTCATAACAAAATCGCTGTCAAGAACAGAAGAAGAAGCAGCAGGCTCTACCACTCTTCCCCTGCAAGTATTGTTCCAGTTTGAATCACTGAGTACCTCTGTGGTGCATTGGACAACCGTTTGGCAAATGGCATTGGTGTTCGTGGTATGAGGTTGTTTTGTCGCATTACCTGAGGACGAAATAGTAGCCGCTTTTCCTGGAGCGTATCTTGCAGAGCTTTGCGGGGATGGCTGCGCACCCTGTATAAAGCTTTCAAGGATTGCTGTTTGAGGTCTACGATCAGCCAGGACCGCAGTTGTCATGGCGCTGGACAGGGCTCTCGAAGAACTTGATTCTGATGTCGCGTTCAGACCTAATGTTTCACCTAGGGCCCCAACATCCATATTTTCGTCAATGTTTGCAGGAGAAAGTGGCGGAAAATCGCTGTAAAGCTCCGACAATAAGGATTTCAACTCGTTCCCTATGACATCAGGTGAGCCTATGTTGGTACTTAGGCCGTATGTTGTCGGTGAGCTATCAAGCAGCCCTGAGTATACTGTGCTATCCCCATTAATGCTCTGACTCGATGAAAACCTGAGGTGATTTGAATTTTCATCGAAAAGCGAGTCTTTGCAGATTGAAGCGTTTGTTTCTATCTCCTCAGCAGTAAATTTGTTATCGATTAGCTTTGCCGATACTGCTCCAGTCTCGAGACAAAGAGTATCCGTGGCTGGGTCAAACACGTTCATGTTGAGATTCTCAAGCACATCCTTTACTTCACTGATTGTGCTTGCATCAATCGATTGGCTGTTTGCTAGGTTTTCTTCTGTGGATAATATGACGTCTGCGCTCAAACCCAATGATGTTTCATCCGTACTGCCGCGAGATTCCGTAGATGATGAGTTGCACGGCGTTCCGGTTCCTGATCCTTGATTTTTATTTGATCTGGAACCGGACGATGAGCTCCTTCGCAGCCTCTGAAGTCGCCGGGATTGTGTTTCCTTCGCTCCATCAAGACGCGAAATTCTCACTGAATCAGCTTCTGATTTATCTAAGCGTTTTAAAGAGCGACCAGATGCACCTTTTGTTTTCCGAGTCGGCTTTTCCAGAATGTGGGCAGCGCTTGGTTCCGTAACTGCAACCGGGTATGGTGCAATACGCTGGTAAACAGTGCGCTTTGGTGCGGGGGGCTCTTCAAGTGAAAATGGAGGGCGTTCTTTGTCGACAAACTTTGTAAAATTGATCTTCAACGTACCGAAATCCCCAGGAATGATCTCTTCCTTGCGACTTCTGCGACCCCGTCGCTTTTTTGTATTCTTATCCAACAACTTTTGAGTAACCTGTTTGACATCTTGGACAATCATGGAGCGAAGAAGATCGGTTTCTGGTATAAGAGCCACCTGCGGATAAACTGAGCTCGAATGTGTCATAAACAAGGGAGCAGGCGCCATTTTGAACACATCGCCAGAGGTAATCATTTGGGTGATATGGCCGTTGGCGGGGTGTTGCACCGCTTGCGAAATGCCTAGATTGGATGTTGATAGGGCATTTGAAGACGTTTTTTGTGTATTGCCTGAGTTACTCCCGGAGAGACATGGAGCTAATGTGCCTGCGATTGAACAGGAAGTTGGAGCAATCGAAGAAGCGTAAATGTGCGTGGCTGTATTTGATGTGGATACTGACCAACCTGGCGACTTAAAAGTGTTGTTTGTCTTAATATCAGAACGTGATGAGACGGGCTGTATGCTTGGAGCTGTATTCAAATAACCATTTGATATCAAAGCATGATGGTCGATTGATTCCTTGCTCATGAGTATGGTGCAAGCATTTCAAATGGGAGCATTTGATATTTGATTGCCGAACAGTGATTTTATTGATGGGGCAATCACTGGCCAATGCTGCTTCTACAAAGCAAATGCCTTCATAGAATGGTATTATTTTGAGACTGTCCAGGAAAGTTGGCTTGTGCAGACGACACGATTCGGGCAAAACACTATCTACAACAAGACAAGACGACCTTGTCATAAGTGACACTCCTTTGTTCAAAGCAATCCAGCGAAACAGTAGTCGTTTGATGAACACAGTGCGAATCTGCAAAGAAAAATACAACTGGTAGCATCGCTGCCATTCCTAAATGTGACGTCACTTAACTAAATTTCAATTTGAGGCGAGTAATATAAAGTTATCAACAAGAATAATTTCTTAAGGCCAGCTGAAACAAATGAAGTCATAGGCAGCCATTGAAAGGGGATGGAAGTGGCTTTGGCAAATGGCAAGTTAATATGATCGTTTGGTTTACAATCATGAGATACTAAAATTGCTTAGTCCACAATAACAAGACACTATAAGATTGTTCGGTTTGCAATGACATGCTACTGTGATTACTTGCTTTAATAAGATTGATCACCTGGTTTGCGTTGAATTGTTACTAAGATTAAATAGTTTCGAATGATTAGAGCTAAGATTTCTTGGTTTGCTATCGTGCGATACTAAGATTGATTAGTCCACAATAACAAGACACTATAAGATTGTTCGGTTTGCAATGAGAAGCTACTGAGATTACTTGCTTTAATAAGATTGATCACCTGGTTTGCGTTGAATTGTTACTAAGATTAAATAGTTTCGAATGATTAGAGCTAAGATTTTTTGGTTTGCTATCGTGCGATACTAAGATTGTTTAGCTTGCTACGGGTAGTAATCTCGAATATTGTGTCAAATCCTACAAAAACTACAAAGTGATTGCGAAATGGTCGTCTAGATTTCCTTCACTTAATGAATGAAAACTAAACTCCAGTTAGGGCAGAAACATACATACAATATTATCTATTTTATTTTTCTATTCACATATGCTATTCCTTTGAATTAGCAAATAACAAAAGATTAGCTTAATAATAAGAACCCGTTTTGAATCATTTTTATCGTATAGTATCGTCAAAATACTCGCATTTCAATTGCAATTCCAATTAAGCTTCTTATGGAAGGCTGAACAAAGTGTCCATAAAGAATTACAATAAAATGCATTGCAGGTTGAACGTCAAAGAATGCGCCAATAAAAACTATACTCAACGGGGGTTATAACTGTGAAATATATCTATGAAAATTAAATAACTTCCATTAAAGATTTAGATAAAAGCACGGAAAAAGCATGGAAAAAGGCATTCAGACAAGGTTCGCAAGTTCAGACTGACCTACTTAAAACAATGAAAATTTCTAAATAGGGAAAGAAAGAAAACAATTTAATTCAAAAATAGCGAATTGCTTTAACTTAATTGTTCACAGTTTTGGAAAAGTCAAGAATTACTTTGCCAATTTGAAACAAAATTCTTACGTTTGGGAATAGGAACAAAAGAGACGCCAGGGCAAGCAAATTTAGTTGCTTGGTCTCAACAAAGTCAAATTTGCATAAGTCGGACACGAATAAGTCGGACTAGCCTAAGTCGGCTTTACTCGCATACTGTTGTGGTACAAAGATATCTGATGGAGTCAGGTATAAAGAATCCGATTTACGCGATAAATAAAAAGTTGTTTGGTTGTTCGCAACTTGCAGAAATATGAATACACTCGTTTGATATGCACCTAGCAGCTTAAAATTCTGCAGATAGGAAAAAACTACAAAAAAGGCTTTGATGAGCTTCTGTAGCCGTAGAATAAAATGCTACCCAGCTCCTCTTGATAAACAAACAGAAAAACTAAATCAACACTGCCAAAAGCCTCCTAGTTTATCTAATAAAGAATAAACCAAACTCTACGAGATCAGTCGTAAAACAAAATCAACTGAATTTTATACCCGAGCATATAAAACATTCACTGAAAATATTTTGCTAATAGCAAATGCGATAGTTGAAGGGACCTGGGTTGCCAAAATACTGGCGAAAGAGCATTCATTGTCATCAAAATCAAAGATGTAATTATTTAGAACTTTTGATATTTAATAATGAAAACATTACGCAAACAAAATGTTTACTCGACTATAATTTGTGATGAACGGACATTTACGAAGGAAAAACAGAAAGCAGAACTTACTAGTATTTTTGAGTTTGTTTATATCCTTGCTGGCTCTCCACTTTCGCTTTGAAGAAACTGCAGCTCGCAAGGGGAATTCGGCGAATGACGATAAAACCTGAAAAAGGAAAAACACGGTGGATGATATGATAAATAATTGAAGGGCAGACCTGGCTAATTTGCAGCATAAAGCCGCTTTGAATAAGGAGCTGTGCAAAGTGTGTGACATTACAATAAGTTGGAAGAAAGGGAGAGGACAATGAGTAGGTGAAATGACGGGGGTGGCCAGTTGCACAGCCGAATAACAACCACTGCTAGAATTTTTATCACGCAAACAAAACATTATGACGGACCATTACAAACAAAATTTGAAAATCAAAAACTTGGTCAACATGTGGCTACAAAACAAACCAAAATTAGTCTTATTTTATTTGAATATATTGACAATGGGAAGGAAGTTGTTCATAAAAGGAGATGACAAGAAAGGTAGTTGGGCCTAGTTAAAAGAGGGATGGTGTATGGGGGAGGTACCCAATAAACTCAAGCCCATAAACCATTGACACTGGACTAAACTATCCTCGATTTTTCTTGCATTTATTGGGATATTTTCATAAGGACATAATCAGATTCTAACTACGAGAGTTTACCAAAATAAACAAATCTCCTTGAAAAACTTACTTATGAAATGATAAATTAATTTTTCTATCTCTTAAATTAAACACATAACAATAACTTCTATCTTTAAAGGTAAGGTTACCTTGCAGAGCTGCAAAACGCATAGAGGTTTTAGAAATGAAAAATGTTGCTCGACGTATAAATAGAACTCATTTGCAGAATCCCAAAGCACTTAAAAGACATCAATTATAGACTAAATACGGCTACTACAATGTGTAGCCACAACATTTTATGAGCATAGAAAACATTTGGCGAAGAAAGATAACGAGTTTTCAAATTAAGGTTTACTAAATAGGTTTTCAGCAACTTAAAAAGTCTGTTAGGTATTTAGAGATTGATGAACACCTTTTATAATAGAGATTTGTAATAGGTGTTATTATTATAGGGAAAATAGGAAAAAATATTCATGCTTTTATTTCTGATAAACTGACTTCAAACAAAGTCTACTTTAAAAACAGAATTACATCGTCATTCGTGTCTTATGTTGACAAAAAGGCGAATAATACTCATCAGAGCAGCTAGATTTTATTGCATAATTTCTCTGTCACGTACAATATTTGCATTCTTAATGGACTTTCCAAACAGCATTAAATATAAAATAAAAAGGGATCAAACACGATCTTGAACAATACAGAGCCTAAATTGAAAAACATTAACCATGTGCGATAAGATAACAGTGAAAAAACAACATGCGAAGATATATTGAATAGACCTTACAGTTATGTTCAGTAAAGCGCTAGTGTGATAATTATTGAGGCCGGTGGAAAGAATGGCTAAAGACGATTTCATCTTACGCACCCTTAAACGACAAAACGGCCCTGCTCCATCACCTCCCCCCTGAGTTATACATATTTATTGTCACAACAATGGGGGAGGTAATTGAGTTGAGCATAGCTTCTATTAGCCTGCGTGCAGACTTTCCTATCCGTTGCGAAGGAGAGCCAATACGGAACTTGGGCGCTCAATCTTGTGCAATAAGTTCACCCCGCAAGCAGAAAGCATGAAGGAAAATGTCGAATGAGAGCAACTGTACGCTTTGCTATCAAGAAACCATTTTGAAGTGTGATCGAAATCTAGTGGAAGATCTGGCGTTTTTAATCCATAAGAAGAAATTTTGAGCCTTGATTTTCAGTTTTTGGTTCCATTATCGAAATATATTTGTAAAAACTGTGTAGAAATATATTTGTAGAAACTCCTTCGCAACGGATAGTAAAGTCTGCACGCAGGCTAAGCTTCTATCAAATGCTTCTATCATCTTCCATGTGCTGACTCTTTGACGAATTTATCAAGTGTTTTCAGCTTCTTTATCAATGGTTTTTTCAGATGAAAACTATCGAACAACTCTGAAAATATATAGAAAGAGTCAACATAGTGGCAGAAATGAAATGCTGTCTAAAACGGGGGAACCCTGACTGAAAGCTGTGCTTCAAAACTATATCACGAAACAGAAAAGGATTACGTTTGGACATTAACACGGGGCCTTAAGTCAATCATCTCAACCCTTTATGAGCCCCCTGGCTCTCAACCTCAGCAAATCAGTACGAAGTCGTTGTGGATTTGGTCCAAAGCGAGTTTCTGTGAAAAGATGCAATCTCGATTGTAATCTTCCTGCTGCCAAGTAAAGGAGCCTGAAAAGCTTCTGTGGATTGTGCATAATGCGATGTATATTCAAGAGACAGACTGCATTAACATGCTGCAATTGATACAGTTTGAAGCACGGCAAACGCAAATTGAAAGGGAATCAGAGCAGAAACCCCGATCTGCCATTATCAACGAGGGCGAAGATGGGAAGAAACGTTAAACAATCCCATCCATTTTCAGAAAGGCTGAGACTTAGGCACATCAATTTTTCATGAAGAGCCTCTGCAGCTACAATCACGTAAATATATCAGCCAACCGAAGCATGTCTTTAAATCAAGAGAAGTGCTTTAAGAAGGAATAAAAAGCCTCTTCGACAAGAAACGATTAAGGATTCGATATCCCGTATAGCTTATGTTCACAGACCTACATCTCTTTATATAGGACAGCTAACGGGACAATAATACTGCCTTGTTGAAAAATACTTCGAGAAAAATTATTTCGTATGCAGCTTGTTTACTTTTATAAAAAAGGAACAAAAAAATCATTAGAAATAATCCGACCCCCTCCAAGGGTAGGGTGACGGTGTCTGAGGTACAGAGGACTTTGCTCCTAACAATGGTTACCTGTAGGCATTTCAAGGCGATGTAGGAAACGCTCTTAGGCTGGACGTGGTAGCCCCAGGGAGCTCCTAGTGCTTGCACATGTACTCGTATTCAAGTTGACGAAAGTATCGGCCATTTGTAAAGGTTCCTACTAAAAATAACATTTTAACATTAATGAGTGTGTGAACTGAAACAGCTGTTGTGCCATTTCAAGTCTGATTCTCTCATTAACATGCAAAACTTGAAGCATTTAAGGGATAGCTCGTTATATCAGGCTTAAGATTTGTCTTTCTTCGGAAAGTGTCACCTGCATATGGCATATATACATTTCTGCTGCCATTTTTTAGCTTTGATCATTTTTGGCAAACTTCAGAACATGGGAATGTTGACGTTTAAAGCGTGGATATATCAACATAAAAGCAGATACAGAACGTGATAAGATAAAATATGATGCAAACGAAAGAAGAGTGATATGTGACGTAGGATTTAGCGAGTATCCAAATAACTCGAACCCCTTAAAGGCAGTGGCGGTTTTAGGGGGGTCCAGGGAGGGTCACGACCACAGGCCCCGCATTTATGTTAGCCAGAAGTGACACTGCATCTAAGAAAAATAATGAGATTTGTAAAGGGGCCCCGCTAGTGTCTTCGGCCCCAGACCCCGCTGTCCCTCAAACCGCTGCTACTTCAAGGAAGAAGCGGCCTCCCTTCCCACTAAAAAACGATGTAATTTTTTAAAGATATCAATACTCTACGTCTTGGATTTCAAAACATTGTCATTCATGTTTACAGTATATCCAATTGATATCAAGGCACTCTTGGCTAAGAAGACAAATACTTGATGTATGACATTATCAAATTTATATTTTCATGAGTATCATCATTTTCAAATTCGTTGACGTAAGAGCCTAAATAAAATGAGCCCAGGTGTGATCCTTGAAGATTACATCCACCATGAATTATCTGTTTTCTCAAGATTTCTGACTTTTATACGTTGTTGTTATAATCATTCTTTTGTTCACTAAACTATGTTATGCTACAATATATCGTTGGTAGAATTAATCACTAAGCAATCTGGCGTTGCATACACAGGGGCGTAACTTGGCCAATAGGTTTGGTGGGGGTGAAAAGGATTTTTGTACATTTTACCCAGTGTACATTTGTCTTTACCAAGGACAAACTTCTAAGCAATAAAAACATATTTATAACAAAAAAATATAAACTTCATTACCTATGAAATATCTATTTCTCTACATGAGCATAAATTAAATGTCAAATTTGATTTTCCTTTGTAATCTAGCTTGTATTTCATGGCATTTGATTGGGGGGGGGGCATGATGTGGCGCGACAAAATTGAGTTTAGTCAGGTACGTCGGACCCACCATGGTTGGGTCCGACGTGCAGAAAATTTTTGAAATTATACCTTGTAAAAGGGCTAAAAAGCATCTACCATACTAGCGTTTAGCAAAAAACTACACTGCTAAAAAACTGATTGTTGTTTATTGGGAAAAATAGGGAGGTGGAATGTCATGCTAAAACTCTAGTGTTAGACGTTGGGGAAGGAAAGAAACGGCAACCTTTCGTTTCAGATAGCACATCGATGTGAATGACAGAGAAAGATGTTGTTTTGATTGGGAGAATTTTATTTCCTGAACAGGAACGTGCAGTTTCTTGTCTCGAGAAGGTCATGATTATACATCCAAAAAGAAAACATTGCAATAATACAGAAAGTGATTTACTGAATTAATGCAAATAAAAGAAAAATAATAGAAATATACGTGAATAAATTAGTAACTAGATCAAATAAAATCAGCATCTTAACAGTTCATTCTCTTTTTATTTCATACATTATTGTAAAAGGTTATAGAAAAAACGATAAAAAGTTCTTATCTTGACCAAAATGGGGGCCTTCAGCCCCCTACCCCCCCCCTCCAGTGGCGCCGTGCCTGTCATGAAAATAATTTACAAAAATGAATATGTGTGGACTCAACCTTGCACTCATAAACATATGCATCAATCATCACTGCATCCATTGGCTATGACTTTTGGTTAGGAATGCTTTCGCTTTGCTAATAACTGAGCTCTTCCTGACATACCTGTTCCGTTCGTTTAAATGTAATATCAGGAAGAGAGGTTCACACCAAATGTGACATTTCCATTTTAAAATTCCTAAGCAGCCCTTTACGAACTTCAGAGGTGGCGTTTCTATGTGGCAATAAAGCTCTTCTTGGCGCCCTGCGAAATCTTCGATTGCCCTGCGAGATCGACTATTTTTTAAATTGGGGAGTGTCACACCCCCCAGTATTTTCGCCCCTGTGCATACAGCACCTGACCACATTTTCATGCAATGAAACATCATACAGCAAATCCTTTTAGCTATGACATCGTCATCTCAACTACTTGAGCCCTTTTAACAGACCAAGCATTTTGCCACAATGTTACCTCCTTTATCAGCAATTGGTGTATTTCGATGTTGTTGCACTTCAAGAACCGCATGACTCGACCCTTACTCCTAGGCCCGCTTCTAGAAAAATGCGCCCCAGATTTCTCTTTCATTCGTTCTTTGAAACTTTGACGAGTTATTGTTTTAGGGTCGTTGGAAGTGGGAAAGGAGATTTCAGTACCAAATTTTTCACGAACAATAAACTATTGGCTATGTTTCAATATTCATGAATTGGAAATAACAGATCCTTGGTTTTTCCAAGCCAGCAGACCCCAATCCCACGAACTCTCTATGGATTTATGACCATACTGATGCAATTTCGACATACGGATGCAGGCTGGCATTGATCTAGCAGGTCGGTTAGGCCACTGAGCAAAACCCCCGTTGAAGATGACAAAAGCAAGCCTTCTGAAAATTCGATTTAAGTGCTGTAATACCTCCTCGTAATGGGTTAACGGTGACGAAGAGAAACGGCTAGGCTACAGGTGGAGTCAATATATCACACAAAAGAAGCGTGTGCGGAAATAAATTGGAAAAATTACAGGCCATCCGCAAAAAGTAATGTATGTTTTAAAAGAAAACATTCAAGCCAAAGTAGAATGACCTGTATATGGAATGCGTTGCTGCTCTGCCTAACGACTCTGGTTTGAAATTAATCAAAAATTAGTTCAGCGAGAGAGGGCTTGCTATCGCTAAGCTGCTTATAATCTTTCACTTTCAATTTACCTTGATTTAGGTCAATTGATAAAATGGAAAAGGAAGTGCCTATTCTAGCATCATTCAGATGGAAATGTTTGAGTTTTGCTTCGAAGATTTTCTTTTGAATAGAAGAAGGTCAGAGAGGCGAGAATCAAATTATTTGAGATAAATATCTCCGCCAACCCTTACGTAACAAGCATTTCCTGGTTTAAGGCGCCTTTTATAAAATCTAATTAAGTTAACTCCTACGCACACACTCCCAAACTAAAACAACAATATAAGCGAGAGCATATGTTTGGGAATACCATCTTGTTTTCTTAATTTTTATTACTTTTCTTTTTTGTAGCTGGGCTTTTTCAACGTACATACTTGTGGGACATATGTCCCAGTGGGCCCTTTTGCTTGTTTCAGCCGTAAAGTAAAAATTCAGTACTTTTCCTCGTGACCTCAGTCAAAATTGGGACCTATATTTAATTTGCCTTGTGAAAAACAATTTTACAACTTGCCAGCTCAAATAAAATCTCGGGAGTTGAAAAGACGAGTGGCAGTGATGGGAATGACTGTGACTGTAATGGTGAAGCCTTGGCAAGTTATCTGTTAGGTACAGAGGAAGTGATAAAGGTGATAAAATTGTTTTCCAGGATGCTCTTACTACAGTACTTGAAACAGAGAACTTAACAAATAAGTAGTAACAAGTCTGCTGAACATCAAAAGAGGCCGATGTCAACAATAAGCCTAATGAGAGGGCAAAGAAGGACGATGCATCTGGATTAAACCCTTGTTAGCTGTTAGTGTGGGTAAAAGGGTAAAGGATTTGAGATAATTCGGCTTTAATCATCTCAGAATTGTCTTGAGGCACCAAGGAGAACATTTAAAAAGAAAGGAAGCACTTATTGCATGCATACAATGTCAGCAATATGAAATAGAAGTTGATAAATGTTTACAGTCAATGGTCGGCTTCCAATTGCAAATTGAATTTATGCCGATGACAGAGATAAGCTCAAGTACTTGTAGATCACTTGCACTCATCAGTGTACAAAGAAGCAACATGGAGTAAGGAAGATGAAAAAGCATTGTGCTCCATGTCAAGGCACCACCATTAGATACCTTAAACAGTGAAGCGCAAAGCAGAGACTCTGAATTTTTCATTTCATCTTGCAGTGGATGCATATAATGATACACAAGTTGAAACGATCAGTAGAAGTTGACCTTCAAGAACACAGTAACCGTTTGGTTCGCTTTTTCAGTAAAGAAGGATAGGACTCAAACTCTGTTTAAGAATTTTCTTTCGTGACACATCATTCATCTTGAACACAAATTCTGTTTAGGGGGTTTCGAAAGTTTGATTATTGACTGCTTGATCCTCAGTTATTCGTTTTAACGAAGAATTCTGAAAATTGTATTCAGTCTAAAAAATTGACCTGGAAAAGTCAAATTTAAACAAACATTTTTATAAACGATTGCTACTCAGGTTCACATTGAGCAGCCTTTCTAGTTTTATCGTCCTCTAGATAACATTCAATTTTGTAGACCAACGAGTAAAAAAGTTACGAAATCAAAAAAATATATTTGAAGACTCCTTGAATATGGACCATATCATCAGAAAGGGCGCTATAAAATGTATTTTGCAAAATTGCTAAAAGATTCCAAATGGGCTGAGGCATTCTTAACTTCTTAATTAAAACGAACGTTAAATGTGCCGGCATTAAAACCTTTCAGTCAACTTGAAGATGACAATAAATTTGGCTTTGACATAGGCTTAAAACCCAAAACAAAAGATAGTTAATTCATAGGGGATGTAATGTGTATAAATTCACTGGGCTTTATCTTAGTCAATAAGCGTTAGATTCAACTGTTCCATCATATATATCACTTATTAAAAGTTTTCCAGATTACATGACCGAAATTAAAAACATTCTAAACATAGACTTTTATGAAGTCATCACATTTTAGTTCTTTTGGCCCACACAACTAAGGAAACAAACCTTATTGCCTGTCCTTGATTCTTTCCAAGGCTTTCTCTACAAAACTATGCGTCATCTGCAAGAAACAAAGAGGCTTTATAGGACACTAGAAACCTTTTGCGAGTAGGCGGCATGTTTGGTATACTTCAAAAATAGGGCAGAGACTAACACTAGTTTCGCATTGTAACTTTGTAACAGGTCTCCCCGAGCCACTTAGGACAGAAGCAGAACAAGAAACTGGGGATTTCAATCAGAAATTTTGACAGAATCTTCGTAAATAGAATAGGGGGTGAGTAAATAGAATAGGGGGTGAGTAAATAGAATAGGGGGTGAGAAAACGTATCTCGATCTTTGAGGCTCTTGTAACTGGAATGGCATTCCAATAGCACAGCGTTTCATGAATCTCCCAAGTAAAAAAAAAACCAGACACCCTATTCATTCACGAAATCAGTTGTTTTAAATATTTAAAGGTCGGCGGCTACAAAAAAGATAAATTTTCTGGAAATATTGGACAAGTCAAGCAAAGAATCGATTGAATAGAAGTGACTGCAATTGATAAAAATCCAAGAAACATGCATTTGAAAAAGAGATATTTGAACAATGAGATGAACATCTTGCAAACCAGAACGTTTACTAGCTACAAACAAAGCTACTATCCTGTCCTGCCCTGGCAGACTTTCGTTCAATATTTGCAGTATTAAGGAACACATGTTAGTATTGCATTGCATTGCACTGTACTGTACTGTAATGTAATGTACTGTACTGTACTGTACTGTACTGTGCTGCACTGCACTGCACTGCACTGCACTGCACTGCACTGCACTTCACTGCACTGTTCTGTACTGCACTGTACTTAGATGAATCAGACAAACAGGTTTATAAGTATATTTGTCAATCAATATGATTTTGTGAAAACAAATAAACACCCCTTGAGTGGGTACCACTTTCGACTGAGCCCCCTACTTCGAATCAACTCCATACAATACGCCTAGCCTAGAACGCTCATTTGACGACTAGCAGCCTCAGACAAAATAAATGGTAGGGAAACAGATAAAAACTGAATAATAATCAACAAATTCTCGTTAAATCCTTGTTTAATTTTGTTAATCAACAAATCATACTATTTTCGTGTATTTACATGTTATCATTTTCATCACTTCAAACTGCGTAAAGAAAGGTGTCATTGTAAACAGAAAGCCATAACATGTTTCCAATCGACGTTGTGAAAGCAGACCTCAAGGCTCCATTCAAAACATTATAAATGATAAAATAATAAAAATTTATAAAATAATAAAAACCATCCCTTGAATGTTCCAAAGTCAGTCAACAACAATTTACGTGCTACCGCCTGAAGTTTGACAGTCCAAACAGCTAGAGAAAATTCAAGGAAACAGCCACCCGAAAGGGCATTAAAAATGCATAATAAACAAAGTGGATAGCGGATCAAGGATAACATGTGCATTTACTCGTACTAATTTTAGGTGGAAAATCCAAGACAGGTGCAAGCATGCTGAAAAACTCAGTCTGCAAAAGACAAAAATCAACAATTAACCACCATTTTACAACTCTCAATCAACACTTGTCTATGAATACTTGAAATCTTAGGCGGAGTTGCCATGACCAACGATTTAGGAGCTGTTCCTAGTTAAAGTGAAATAGGAAATATCTGAGCCAAAAAAATCGAAACTGATATCGCCGTGAGTTGGTCACCAATCCTTTAAACTCAGACGTTCGAAGTTAGTGTGTGTTATGTTTGTTCCTGCGAAGGCCATGGAATTATGCTTAAATGTCAAACACCAGTATTATCATTGGCAGAATGAGAATTGTGTCGATATTTCCAAACATGATTTCCGAATAAAGCTTAAAATCTAACGGCAACCCAACAACATTAACTTTACGCTAAAAAACGGTAACGTGTAGAGTACTTCCTGATAATTTTAAGAATTCCGCTAAACGGTAGCAATTCTCGACGAAAGGCAGAATTATCGTAGATAGTGAATTTGTTCATTCTGCCTTTCTTTCACTCCCAAGTCACAGAATATGTGCCCCAGTGCTACTTTCAACCAACACAGTTCCAGATGCCAAAGTTTTAAATACTTTAGCGAATATTCTCAAATGAAGTCCATTAACTTGAATTTTTATTCTTACCTTAAATGTTTGAAAATTATTTTTACAAAACTGATTAAACTTGTTTTATTTTCTTAAGTGCTTATCAAGGTTGTGTTGATAAGGTTTCTCAAGACAGTGGAAAAGTTTAATCTTCTTTACGTTTTTGAAAAGCAGTTACTTCTAAACTAAACAAATCCTTTTTAGATTTAAACCATAAAATAGGGCCCGTATCTTTTGAAAAAGAAATTCCAAAATTCTTGAAATGTTTTAACACTGAATCAAACAAACTTGCAAGCACCACAATCAAAAACAAAAACAAATTAGGTAAAAAAGGAAACATTCTTGCAAGATACAAACTCTTGGAGCATCAACAAAAAACCAGTGCGAAACTTCGGTTTGCAAAAGCCAGAGTTTCAAAACCGGCGCGGATCTCAAAATTCGTGAAGCAAAAAATGATGTACTGTATCAAACTTATTTAGCCTAAAATGATATCCAATGCTGGTCATAAATCAATACTTAGATCGTTCGTTCGTGGCTTTCATTAGCAAGAAGAGATAGATATTCGGCAACCTGAATATCTGGACTTAAATAAGAAGAAGAATAAACTATTGCAAAGAAGAAGCGTTTAGGAACGATGCGAAAATTAAGTGAGCTTATCTTCAAAATAGATTATATCTATAATAGCTGATAAAAATCACAAAGGAATCGAACGATCAGAAGGAAACTGGCAGGACGAATAGATTATATTCCTCCGACATCTTCATTAACCGCAGGAGAAACGAAATAAAAAGGAGCCATAACTATGTTTTATTATAGTAACACGTTTAGCTCACTCCGTAAATACTGCGTATATTTGCAAAACAAGAAAAGGCAGCACTGGCACTGAATTATGAAAAGATATATCATCACGAAAACAAAGCAAAAAGCAAAATTATTATTGGCGGAAACTTACTGAAAACAGTTTCTGCACTCAACAAGCCACAAAAAGTTGGGTGAACGAAACCGATGACTTTGTCTACACCAGCAACTAGTTGGTTAAAATCCGTAGCAACATCGTACCAAGAATATCTAGAAATTCAATTTGATCTTCGTAGCCGAGGGCACCTGAATGAGCAAATGGCATCAGGCAAAATTCCTCTGAGTTTTATCGTCAACTGCCCTATATAAACAACGTCCGTCGGGAATTGTAAGGGCTAAAATCCGGACTATGAAGTCAAGGATTCAAACAGATGGAACAGGTATAATGTTAGAAAGACGACCCACTCCTCGATCAAAAGGCGTAGTAGGAGGGTACCTAATATGCTTCCGGAGAAGCAGGAATCGTCACTTTTCGGAGACAGAAATCGGGGAGTGGCAAATTTCTGTGAGCGGGATTCGGGAATCGGTAACATCAGGGTTAGGGAATTGATTGGCGGGAACTCGGATATCAGGGGACCTATTGCGTATCCTTTAGTGCAATAGGGGTGTCAGGGTCATGAAAATTAAAATTTACAGACAATGACATCGATAAAGAATATGACATTTAATTTGGACATGTCACGTTACTTCAAAGTGACATCAGATATTTTACCGACCAACTTATGTATTTATAAGCCAACTGAAGATTTACCATAAAATTCATGAAACATTAAATGTTAGATATATTAAAAATTTATTAGATCTTGATGCTTTCGTCTGCTGGTGAAAATGTCAATAATGCTGTAGTTATCAAAGTTATGATTCATTGATATAGTTCACACTTTAAGGCCACTAACATTCAACCTCTTATGCTCACAAGGACTCATAAATTGTAGAACAACCAAAGCGTCGCATATTTGAAAGATCCATTAGAAAATCCAATCTTTCATCGTTTAGTTATTGAAGCTTTTTGACTGCAGCTAGTCCTGCGTTAACGGTTAAAAAAGTCTGGAAAATACTCCGTTTTTATCTGCATAAATTTCCGTTTTGAGGCAAATTTCCCAGTTTCAAATAGGAAATTGATGGTCTAGGGTGTTCTGGATATTAACCGACGTATTACCGTTATAATATCCGGACTCCGAAAATACAACCTCCTAAAACATCCTTGATACTGAGTATCTCCTTCTTAATTTTCGAATACTTGGCAGGAAAACATTATGAACAAGCGTAACGACTCAGATAAAATGCATTTTCTTTATTAGTTTACCATATGAACTCATAGCGTAAAATGATAACTCGCGTTTCAGAATACAGAGGTTCAAATGCTGCCTCAACAGCGGCAGAAACCTGGTGGTAGAAATCTAAAAAGGGGGTTTCCGGTTGCCGGTTTCGTACTGGGTAGAACCGGGTTTTATCGGCAGAGTAGTGAAACAATCTGGCTACTTGGTACAAACTGCTCTGAGTATCTGAGAACGCAATCTCCGGATGATTTGGTAAAGAAACAAAAACAAAATTTCTTTCCCCATCTCTTCCTGTTTATTGATAATAAAGTGAAGTGGTTGATGGGAATAATAAAAATGATGTGAGGCCAAGACCAGTGTTAGGATATTGTTCGTTTCTGTCCAAAGAGGATCGTGTAAATCTATAAAGCACATCCTCCAGCAGTAAATGAACATACTCTGGATACAGTATCATGCCTTAAAGAACCTCAAAGTACCATCAACTTTAGGAAAAGGGTTTTTAAACGATCTTCTGGGCATGCATTTTTGTAGGGAACTTTTTGCGGTTTAATCTTGAACCGTTTCCACCCCAATTCGAGTATTTCCGATTATCAACCTGAAATTTTTACACAAAGCATTCTTCTTCATAAAATCTATAAGATGTTTTTAAGTAGAACGAAATCATTCATTGACAATATTTTTTAACAGAATTGCGTGGTCAGTAAATTAGCCCCGCAAGAATTCACCTGCTCGTAGTAGGCTGTCGGCCGTACAATGCATACAACTGAACAGCAACAGGCGATTTGATGTTCCATTAAAAATTGACGAGCTCTTGGAGCAACACTCAATCAAGACATTGACTGAAGCGACCCGATAGTATACCAAAAGACGTTTTTGAGCTCTTTAAGGGTTAAGCGAACAAGCGAGTCATCATCATAATCATATCGGTATTCACAATCTTACGATGGTCACCACTGTTTTACGCATACAATAACAAAATGGCGTATCCATTTGCCAATGTAGCTCTTGCACAAGCAAAAAAGATGCCTAAATTGACTTGCTATACAACGCAACGCTTTGATTTTCTTTGCTATACAACGAAGGAAATCAATTTTAGGATTATTTGGGTCTTATAACCATGCCAGATATTGGCCTTATTTTCATAGACCGTAGCGTCAAAGTTTCATTTTTTCGTAGGTTATGACAGAGGCATGAATTTACACTAAATGCATCACAATAACATTCATGTATTGCTTAGGTTTTGATACAATTACTGCTGTTAATCACTGCAAACTTCCTATCGTTACAGTCAATTTTATAGCAGTTGAATCTAAGGGGTACTATCTTGAACCGTTGTGGCAAAATGCAGTTTATCATACATTTATTTTTACCACAAAGCTAAACATTAACAAAAAGATTAACCCTATTATTCACTGTGACAGCTGTGAATATAAGAGTAGATGGTGGGGAAGGTTAATTCAAATCTGACTTGACAGACTAATTTATTTCGAAGTCAAAAAGAAATTGAATTAATCCTAGCAAAAAAATCATTCTTGAATTACGGAAAGGGAAGACTACTTAAGCGATGATAATCCTCCATCATATCAGAAATATATTTTCTATTAACTTTTGGAATGATGATAGTAATTGATAAGAACCTTTGTTAATCATAATACTATCATGTTTGTTTTATTTACGTTATTAATGTTTTGCTTTGTTCTATCATTTAAATGTACAAATTACATGTTTATGTTCGATAGATGAAGGGCAATTTCGGGCTATAAACCTTTACTGTTAAAAAATAATGGTGTTGAAGATCACAGTCTTAAGCCCCGTTCACACGGGAACGCAATCGTTCCGTTCCGTTCTTCTCCGTTCCGAAAAGCGTAACGCTCAGGGGTTGTGTTCACACGGGAACGCTTCAAATGACACCGTTCCGTTCCAAAAAGTGAAACGATAAAATAAGTGATACGAAAAGTGGAACGGTACGCAATCGTTCCGTTCCGTTCCCGTATGAACGCGCAGAACTGGTCCAAAAAATGGAACGATAAGAGTTTTGCCTTTGGCGCAAGCGTCTGTGTTGTTGTTGTGGGAAGCAAGAGGTGACAATAATAAACACAGCGAAGAAAATGGAGGAATTCAAAAACACCATTGGGTTCCTTGGAGTTTCACTTGCTTCACTCACGGCATTACTGAAGCTCAACATGGCGATTATTTCTTTTACAAAGCTTGCATATAGACGGAGAAGGAATCTAATTCTAAACATGATAAAAATAAAAACAAAACTTGGTGAATTAACTGGTCAAACATTAACATTTCTTCTTGCTACAAAAGACAGGAGAGGTCGGCGAAGCATATGGGAAAGATCTGGCCGAAGTAAGATTTGGTGGAACAACTTTTAAACACTTTTATGACATTAACTGAGGAGCGTAGACCTTTCCTTGAAAAGACAACTACAGTAATGAGAGATCCCTTGTTCTGTGGAGACACAACTGGCAATAACACTCTACTATTTAGCTGAAGAAGGCCGCTTCAGAAAAGTAGCAAATGCTTCTGGTGTGGGAAAGTCCACTTTCCCACGAGCGTGCTATATCTGGGGCGCTGTTGGTGATTTTTTATTTCTCCATTTCTCTACTTCCTCCATTAGGTGATTTTTTATTCAAATTGTTTAAAAACCCACGAAATCAGCTCAGAGATGAGTCGAAGTGATAAAATCTATCTCCATTATAGATATGCGCATTAAAAATCATCTTCTTATTTTGGTGCACAAACTGCAGAACGGAACGATTGCGTTCCCGTCTCAACATAAACAAAAACCGAAACGCAATCGTTCCGTTGCCGTTTGAACAGCATACTTTTCCGTTCCAGAAATTGGAACAAAATTGAAACGGAACGATTGCGTTCCCGTGTGAACGGGGCCTTATATACCGTTGCAGTTAATTGATTAACTGAGAAATAATCTGTATTTTCATTACTATAGTAATTATCACAACTGCAAAATTCGGTAACATTTTCATAACTTTCTATGTTATGCTTATGGTAGTCTAAGCCTTTGTGACCTTCCTGCAACTCACTCATCAAAATTTGCAACTCATTCTCTCCCTCGTATGATCGACAATACACTTCATTTCATTTTCAAATTCTTTTGGCATGTAAGTCCCTCAGTTAGAGAAATACTATAATGTTATACAACAAGATTAATAAAAGAAATAAATTAAGCGAGTTCATGTAAAAAAACACCGTTGCTTCGGGGGATTTCATCAACCCTTCTTGGAAATTCTCTAATGTAGGTCTTCCCCTTATGTTATGGCTCAAGCCATTCAAGTGACTGAATATGGCGATTATTGATGATTAACATCTATGATTCGTGATTATGATGATGATGACTTCAATAATGAAAAAAGGCGACAATGATGAAGATGATGAGGAAAAGCGGGGCTCCAGTAGTGCGCGAATATTTCCAACTTCAAACACCAAACTTCAATATTTACAAAATTGGTACGTGAAAGTTAGTAATCGGCAGACCAAAATAAACGAAAGACAAAACGCTCCAAGCCAGAGTAATTATTACAAGTGAACCTCGTGCACCTGCCAATTTAGACTCTAAATAAGCCCTTCATGATTTCTGTAAATATTATTAAACTCTATGCTATGAAAAGGCCTTCTGATTTCATTGACTTGCACACAGTTTTGCCAATCATTTCTTACAGACAAAAGCTCTAGTTTTTATATTGTCCTTTAAATCTCAGTTTTCTGATTAATATCTTGATCACGCCCTTGAAATCTGAATTTAAATAAAAGAAAGCTTGAAAGTTTGATTCCAGAAGCTGATTCGATGACTACGTTTGGTTAAGATGGTAGCTTATGGCTGTTAAGGTAGCTAGTGAAATAAAACTAGGAAATGGTGCCGTAGGACTGTTCTATTCTGTTTGCTTGGGAGCCGTGTCATTCCATGGCGATGGCGGTCATGGTCGTTTAGCACTGTCTATCTTTAGCAGCTACAATGCTCGCCAAAAGTCTTGGTACACTAAGCTAAAATTTCGCATAGGTTCAGCAGCATTCCCTATTTCTCTTGAAACAATGTTGAAACAATTTTTAACAGCTTTAGAGCTTGAAATTCATCCAATGTAACTCTATGAGATAGGGTACGCAATGGGCTTTTCAACCAACATTGTTTTCGGGGGGATGGGGATATTTCTGCATCTTACGGCCGCAAACTTTTATTTCATCAAAACCTTACATTGACCGCGGGCTGTTCCAAGGACTTTGGTCAAGGATTGTATTAGCAACGTCCGCTCTGTCATGTGCTTCCTCCTTTATGCTGGTACCTGCACTGACATCCAACTGCCCAGGCTGCTTAGGAATATTGTCCTCTCCCACCCTATACTGCTTCTTTCTTCCATCTTGGCGGTTAGCACTAGGTTTTCTGGTTCCTTACGCTTGAAAGCATCCAATTCAACATGAGGCACAGCAATATATTTGGTAGATCAATTTTATCACAGTGATAGAGAAAGAATGAAAGGAAAGCGTGAGTATGGTGGAGAAGTTATGATCATAGCTTGGATCTTGATTCAAATTGCATGTTCAAAAGTCTCGCTTAAAGGACAGTTTGCCTTAAGTTTAAATGGGACGGTTTTAAAGAAATTGGAAGAAGCTGTGTTTATGGCAGGTATGGAGCCATAGATGATGGCACAAAGGTGTCTTTCCTAGCAAAATAGAAAGCTATAAAAGAAGACATCAAGTTATTATGTTGCGTTTCACTACTCGAAGGTCTCGATAGGCCACTCGCAGGTCTGAAAATACTGCCTTAGTTTATATTGCACAAAGCAAGAAATAAGACTGGGGTTGAATCATATCAAACAGTGAAAATAAAGATTATCTCAGAAGGAGATAGGCCATACACATGGGTTAATATAATGTGCAGTGAACCTACTTTCACCGAGCCATTGCCTCGACTGATATGCCACTGCTCAAAATGCCTTCATGCATTGTGGTAGTATTTTAATGAAGCATTCAAAGTAGGCATTAATTATTCACAGAGATAATCATAATTGTCCTTCGAAGACCAACTGTTTGCTTCTAACTGTAATTATTAAGCAAGAAACAGCTCACAAAATCAACAATATGTTTGGCCCTAAGGAAGATATTTTGGGTTACTTTTAATCTAATCATTACAAACATTTTCAGTAAAATGCTGGCAAGTGTAGACAATTTAAGATTTAATGAGACCTCAAATCAAAACAAGGACATGCATGTTGTGTTTTCCCTATAGGCAATTGCATACCTATTCAAACTATGGCTATGATATTCGTCTGGTGGCTTAAAGAGCTATTCATTCGTGACAGTTGCCTAAGGAAACATAAATTCAAAATGCCCTTGAAGAATAATATGAAATCTAGAAGTAGTGAGGCAATTAAGTCAGCCAGCAAAAACATTATCGTATCTTTTTTATGATAGAAGCATGGTCTTTTTAGAAATAGGAGGCTTAAAAATTTATGAAAGGTTCCTTATCAATAGGTGTCTACATTGGTTTTGCCTTACTCAATTCCTGAAAATTTTAATGTTGCTGTGGCACACTGTTTTTATTTGAAGCTTTAAAGTCTTTTCGGGTTAGAAATTATCTTAATTAAAACAATAAGAACTCAAAATCAAGATATGATGTACCCTTCAGATGAGTATTCAGCTGAGCATAGAGGAATTAAAGGTATTGATTCATGATAAAATGGATTGGGTATACCCTTAGTGCCAAAATCAGCTGAGTCATGGTTTTCATGACTGCGATTCTATTGGTTGACCTGGAACTGGTCACACGAACTCACCTCGTACTGATTGACAAAGCAATTTTCATCAATAGCAAGTTGTCAACAACAGATGCAAATATCCCATAAAACAGCAGTGATCACACTGAAACCAAATGACCCCCTATTAGAAAAGGCCTATTTACCATGACTCAATGTCTTTAAATCAGTATAAATCTATAAAAAATCCTAAGGTTGTAATGCTGTATTTCTCTGATTCACGTCTCTTGGCTTAACAAATGGACCAAGAATGAGAAAGGGTTTTTATCCAGGAACTAATTTAGGGTTTTTTATCCAAATTTCTCACTTAATGCAATCATCAGACAGCTTTCTGAAACACTATCTTGCAAGTTAATAAAACATTACATTTCATCAGAATATTAGGAATTCTCGTGTTAGCTGCACACATTTGCCAATTCATTGATACAAAATTAAATGTAATTAATTTAGCATATTTTACACATTGAAGGGAATACACTGTTTTTAAAACAAGGATCTAGACAGCTGGGGCAGAGCAGGATTGAAAAACATAATACGGGAGAAAATGTGAGCAATTTTATCAACCAGGGCAGGACTCAAACGTGTGACTAAGGCCACTCTATGCCTCTGCTCTGCCATAATTCTATTATACATATCAGTTCACCATAAATATTTATGAAATATAGAGAGCCCTGTCCAGATTGTTATGTCTCTAAGATACTGGGAATATCAACAATATCCAATACTATCCAAAAGATTGTTATGTCTCTAAGATACTGGGAATATCAACAAAATCCAAATACTATCCAAACAAAAAACCAGCTGAAAATGCTAATTGATGTTAATACAATTTCACCTACAAACAAACTGAATCAAATAACATACCAGAAAGCATAAAAAACAATAAGCATATCAATTGGCTTTTTTGAAGATATATGGCATTCCTCACTGAATTATTTTTTAACAACAATGGCTAAATAAACTTGTCTCAGAAAAAAAAATTATTGCGCTTCAAGCTTCACTGAGTTGCATCAAAGAAGTTTCTTTTCATCTATTTTCAGAGTAATACTATTATTGTCCTAACTAGGTTGTTATATCGAAAGAACAAACTAAATTTCATTCATAACTCTTTCATTTCATTCCCTTTGGAAAAATCATAGCATGTTCTTATAGACAGGGTTTAAGGTAGCTTATGAAAGGAAAAAAATTCAGTCAAGGAATTGAAAGGAGGAGAAAAATCCATCAAAGATATTGTCAGCAAAATGCAGGTCCTGAACAAAACAATAAAAACAAACCCCAGAAAAATGCAGCAATATAAACAACCCATGACACATAAGCAAACATGAAACAGTTCTTTGATTCATGTATAAAACTTGTAACAAAGCAGTATTCAGACATTGATTCCAAGAAGCCACCCACCATAGAAATAGGTATTACCAGGTGATACATTCTTTTGAACAAAAGATTAATAAGTTTCCTATCATCATTACTATAGTATCATGAAAATGAATTCACATTTAACAAATACAATTCCCTACAAAATCATGTGTCATATTGCCACCATTAACAAATGCATGTGTCTCTTAACAGCCCATTTTTCAAAAGTAAATATTACAAAGAAAATCTAGCAATAGATGTGTATAATCAGAATGGACTTTTTTCATAATGTTATTCAAAGTTATATATACTGAGACAAAAAGGAAAATGTAAAAAGGGCTTGCATTTAATTTAATTGGCTCATTGATGATTTGGACTTTCTGTTTGTTATGATCTTTAATGTATATCAATCTTTAAATCTTTACTGAAAGGGATAAGAAAATTCAACCTTTCAAAAGAAAATCATTCTGAGCAATCTAATGGAGGGCTACCTTGCTAATAGTTTTTACCAGCCAATTGTGTATTGTCTCTATAATTTTTGTTTTTTTTTATAATATTTTATCTGCTATATCATAAACAAATTATTTACCTCTTGATAGGTCTTAAATTATACATCAGAAAAGTCTTTTATATGTAATAAACTCAAACTCATAAAATCAAAAACATAATGAAAATTACTGTAAATAGGTTTGTTGTATGAAAAATAAATAGGACTGATGATCACATTAAGAAAGAAACTCAAAACTACAACTTAAAGTTAAATAAAACAAGGCCAATAATACACTACCATATAAGTTTGTGGAAACATGAGAATCTGCTGTAAGTTGCTCAATGAAAAGACTATCATATGCAGGCTAAATGTTTACCCCATAGACTATCACAAGTAGTGGCAGATTCAGCTCTTAGAAATGAAGACAAGCTTAGTGTTTTTGGAGGTTATGCTTATAGAAGCTGCTCGTTAATGGTTTGACTGTGAACCTACCTAACGCCTGTTTTGGTGATTGTTTACAAATTGCAAAGGTAATTCTTTGCACATCCTTTTATTTTCTAAACTAGCATGACTAAGTTGAAGTTTACGCTGTTCATCCTTTTCATTGTGTTCAGATTTATTATTCTTCGCTGCACTTTATTGACAGCATAGAATAACAAAAAACAAACTCAACTTCCGAGTAAACATGAAGCTTCCGTTTATTAATTTGTGATGATGCAAGCGATATATGTACTATGTCGACATGTCTGGTTTGCCTTTGTTTAGACACAGCTAAAACAGACAATATTTCTGAGCCTTTAAAACCATGAAAAAGAAACATAAGCTTTTCCTCACCAAGAATTCTGCTTATAGTTTCTCTTCGCTCAATTTTGGACCACAATTTTGCGATAACTTTCAAAAGTAATGCAGTTTATTCGGTTGCTAGGTGTACTCATATAATTCATTTAGTGCCATTCCTTCTACGTGACCAGGCAATATTGCAAAGATAATGGCTTCAGCTTAGGTTTGTACCTCTAAGCCCTGCAAAAATGATGTCAAACCAGTTATTTTATGTAGAGCTTAAGCACTATTTGGCCATCAATTTGCACCTTCCTACAAATGGTCTTGGTCGGGGGTGAGGTGTGCCAATTTCGTGTATTACAAAAAGTAACGTACCATGAAAAAATTCAGCACCATAATTCCCAAAAATTTCATACACAAATTTTTCAGATTCACAATCATAGATGGCTTACTAAGCAACAAATGAGGATCCTCAATTTTCCAAGTAAAAGCCATAAATTTTCGGCATTTTAGCGTAGGCCAGCTCTAACAGAAGCGCCATTTTACATTAAAAACAGAAGGCTTACTATTTTTCCACTCACCAGAAAGTCTTTTGACTCTGCCTTGTATACACTTTCTCGCAGTGAAAATATCTTAGCTTGCTGTTATAGGAATGAAAACACAATCCAGCAACGAAGATCGGAACCACTGTGCTCCTTATGGCCAGAACTAAATTTCCTTTAAAACAAACACAAGTATAAGGTTTTAGTCAAATGTCATATTTCTCAAGGAGAAGAAATGAATTTTTTGTACGACATTGCTGTAGAGTACTTTGTAGAGAATGTATGTTCCTTGTTACTTTCTTGCATTTATTCTATGGACATAAATTTTAAAATTATGAAAAATAATTTGACTTATTCAAATCCAAATTAATGAGTAGAATACAAGGGCTGCGATACCAGGGGGGGGGGGCGGGGACCTTGGCCCCCAAAAAACTTAACTGGTATAAGTAAAACTTTTGTTTTGTAAAATATGGCTGTTTTTACACTTATTTATCAGGGCCGCTTTTTGGTAGAATAACCCTGTGGGTGGAAATTGATGGATCCACTCTTTTCCTTGGAAGCATACAGTAAATTTGGCAGAAACTCAATTTGTGCCTCGAACAATGCTTCATATTATGGTTAATTCTTTAAATGTTTTTTCTTCGTGTTTATTCAATAAGCTTATAATTATTGCATTAGATTTTGATTATCAGAATATGCAGTGTGTATAAGATTGAACACAGGTGAAATATTTTTTCATCTCACGGGCAACTTTCTGGATAAGATTCTTTCCAAGATTATATATTTGCTTAGCATTCAGGGATGCCAGAAGCATAAGTATGACGGGGCAGATGGGGGCAGTCTTTTACCAAAGGCATGATGATGTAGGTGAGGGAAGTGAGCGAAGTGAGAAAGAGGGGGTTCGGGGGTGCTCCTCCGGAAATTTTCTTTTACCAAACCCTAAAGTTTGGTGGCTTAAAGTAACATCAAATTTGTTACATTTAACTTCGTAAACTATTGGAAATTTTATAGCAATTTTCTCTGCTTCGATTCTGTTTTCTTTTGAAAGTTTTTTATTCAGGGTGAAGTTTTGTTTCCCTAGAATTTTCGTCATGCATCAATATAATGGTAGCTAGGATATGTTGATAGGAATGAATGAGGTTGGCATGAAGCATTCTCTACTTGCCAGAACCCGCAACTCTCTGACACTGCGAACAAAAAGGCACTTTCTGCCCCCTCTCCTGCCTCCTTTGTTTCCTTGTTCTGGCCTCGCTATCAGCACTTTGCTTATTATTTGAAGATTTTGAGCCTTTTAATCTGAATTCTTTTAGATGTAATTACGCTTATTAAAAAGAGCACAAATGAATAATGATTTTGCAATGTCAAATTGTATCTCAGGCCAGTTGTAACAAATGATGCAACAATTCAATGGTGGAGCCAGCCACTAAGCCCTGGGGGGTTAAATCCAAAAAATTCAAGCCACGCCCTTTTAACTACCAGAAAACGCTCTTTTACCAACAGGGAACGCCAATTGTATCCGAAGGGAACGCCTATGACTAACTTTTGTTTGAAAATGGGCAGTTTGAAAATGATAGGATTACATCACAAAAAGTACGGTGTCAAAATATTCCCCAGTTAACCCCTCCCCCAACATTTTCTCATCAAGTTTAGACGAAAGACAAAATCGATTCTGCTGAGAACTGGGGACGTGTCCCCCCCCCCCCAGTCCGACCCGTGGCGCCGCTACTGCAACAATTACCTAATTTATCTTCTTGTCATTTTTAATCTTGAAGCTAAAAACGGGCATTTTCATGATTCTCCAGTCACTTGAAGGGTGTGGCACCAAGATCGAATGATTATCCAACACTCCCAAATCCTTGCCGCTTTAATCCGTCCTTGCCTAAGCGAGTATGCATAGTCAATTAAAACCTGCTGCAATATCCACTAACTAAATGCATATAAAATCGGTGTAATTTTGTTCGTATTTAAGATATGAAGAAAAATCGTGATATTTACAGTTGCAAAAAAGTTTACCAAATAATTAAATACACATAAAACTGGATACTTTTTTAATCATTTATGAATCATGAAGCTATGCAAAAATATTCAAAATAAGATAGAAATTTAGAGAAGAATCTGAAAATAGAAAGAGTAGTGTTATGTCTGCTTCTTTCTGTTTTCCGTAGCTTTGCCTAGAATATAGAAGATTCTGCTACAAAGTTTTAACTCACCCTCTTCTTTGGCATTATGGCGGATGGAAACTTTTTGACTTGGTTGCGATTGAAGCTTCGCGCTTTATTGGTCTCAAATTAGAAAATGGATATAATCTTCTGAGACAAGACTTCTGTTAGATCAATTGAATATTTAATCTCGCAAAGAATGTTTAAATCCTTAAAAGACAATGTTCTTGGTCACAATATTAGCCCTCTCCCAACATTTTTTCTTAGAACTTGGGAAGATGGAAAAGACTCTCCCAGTCCCCTACCGTGGTACCATCACTGCATGTGCCATACAAAGAAGCGTTTATATCTATCTGTTCTGAACCCGAACATCTTGGTTCATAATCATTTTTTGAGACCAAATCACATTTCTAAGCCTAACTAATATCATCTTTAAAGATGTCTTTTGACACTGATAGTCGTTGATGACCGAAACAGCCAAGGAATTTCCAGGCAACAAGTCACACAAAAAACCTCAAATTATATGACATTTAGAGAGAAGGCTTTCAAAATGAATTTAACAGGTAAATAGGATATTTCAGGAAAAGCTTTTGGTGAAGATTCCAGTCTTATATAAACAATGTTGAAAAAATTACAGAGAATCTTGTAATGATCAACATATATGGCTTATTATTTATATTGGCTGTTCGTTACTAGTCTACTATCAACTCCATGGGAGGCAAACTGTCTTTTTTAAACCAACACTGGCTTTCATGGATACCATAATAACATTAGAATAGAATTCTAAAGAGTGACGTCAACAAAAACCTTTTATTAGAATTTTTGAATTTTAACCGCATAACATAAAAAGAACACCTTGAAAAACTCCCAGGTATGCCAAATAGGTCAAATGTGTCTAAAATTGGGTTATCTATGGCCAATAGAAGATTTGAATTTTGCTAACGGAATACTGTTATTTTGGCCCAGACAATACAGAGGTTTGATGGGTAAGAACCAATACACATGTGGCCATATTTCAGCCAATTCGTTACACATTTGACTGGTTTTGCACATTTAGAGGTATTTCATGATGCTTTTTCGGGCTATGGTATTTATATTCAAAAATTCTGAAAATTTATTTTTATGACGTCATCACTTAAGAACTCTATAATCCTTGAATGTAAGCCGCGCTTTGTTTCTACCTAGCATCCGAAGGTAGTTTTTGGGTTTTTTAGGAAACTGAGAAGTTGTGTGTATCGAACAGTGTCCTGGTCCTTCCTCTTGATGTGACCAAACCTCTTGACTCCTACGCCTGGAATTTCAGGCAGCTGAAGACTCCCCTAACTCTGGGTGAAAGTCTGGTCATGTCAGGGACTTCTCGTATCATAACCACTGAGCCAGGAGCGGAGTGGCTTTAAATTTAGGACCCGGGCAAATAAGTCGAAAAAGGGCCCCAAAAACCAATGACGTTTACGTTTATCACCAAAGTTTATTCTGGCAACACTTTTCAGACTGGTTTCAAAAGCTATTGGAATGTTGCTATTAGTTTTCATTGGTTACGACCAGGGATGCAGACGTAGGCGTAAAATATTAACAAGGGGGCTCTACTAGCCTACAATCCTTAACCTCCGCATCATTTTCACTGAATATTTAACTCTGGCGCAAGATAAGAGGTAAGAGAAAATCATGCCATTACATTATGGGAAGAAAATTTATCGTTTTCTAGCTAAATGACTTTTTAGTAAGGGGAGAATGTAGCAAAGGAGATTACAGGTTGTGATCGACAATTTATCATTGAAGTGTATGAATTTCTAGAGCTAAATCTGGCTGCATTGGGTCTCTGCTGTAGTGTCTCTATCATTAAATTGCATAACAACGACAATCAGGGGCCTCACAATTGTATTGGTTAATTGCTAAACCGCTCAAACATTAAAATCTGCAATGAAATTGTATCTTCTCACAGAGCAAATCATGGGCTTAATGAAATGTCTAAGATGTTCAAGAAATATCTTGATATGTAATTTTACAGTCAAAGTATAATGACGTTGATATTTTTCCGATCATGGGGGGATGTTTAGATTCCTCAGGGGTTTAGTAAAGCCCGCCACTGTGGTTAGGAATTTTGGCCAAATTCAAGAAAATATTTGGAAAAATGACAATATAGAGATGGCCAGAAAATGCATCTAAAATATTTACAACATCAAGTTTGGCCAAAGGAGGATCCTAGGCAATACCGGTTGGCATTCTTTTACAACAATTCCTCATGGTTCAAATTGTCTTCATTTTGAATTGTCCAACAATGAGGAATGAGATGGAGAAAGTGGAAAGGCAATGCGAAGGTAGAGAGTCAAAAACAGAGCAGT